TTTGAAAATATTTCTTCCAGATAAATCACATCATCTGTTTGGAAATTTGTTGCCCGGCATAAAATTCCAAGTTCAAGAGATGTTTAAGGCATCTGTAATAGATGCGGTTTTGTTGAAACATGTACCAGTGGACCCACAACTACTTTACAAAATCATATTTTGCACTATGGAACTACTATCAATAGTCCTTTGACTGGAGAATCAAGCAGCAACTGAAATACACCATCGGAAAAAAAAATTAAAATCATGGACAGTGCTTTACAAAAAACAAGCTTTAAAGAAATTGTAGTTGATCTAGCTATAGATAATGTTTCAATAAATACAGTAACAAACAACAAATTTATTAGCTCATTAATTCAACACAGAGGAAACCATCTTCCTAAATGACCAACAACTGTGATGAATTTTATCCATCAAGATTTTTCTGATAAAAAGAAAGTGATAAAACAAAAAATTATCGAAAAAATTCGAATGAGACATAAACTCAGCTTAACGCATGATGAACAGAAGGTATATTGGTGTGCCCCTATATGAAAGCAAATGTAAAAAAAACTATAAAACTTGTCTCGTTAGGATTTATGGTTTATGGTTACGGTCCAGCTGAAAGTATAAGACAAAAAAATAATTATCATTTGAATTCATTTGGTGTCTATTAAAAAAGATGTAGTAGGTCCTACTCAAGATGATGCAGCAATCAACAAGAAACTCATGCAATTAACAGACATTGTTGATCAGTTTTGCTTTAATCATGCAATTTATCTTGATGTATGCAACACATTATACAAAAAAAAAAAAAAAAAAAGACAAAAATTTACCAATTCCAAAGAAATGGACAGTGATTCAGAGAATGAACATGGAATTTACAATAATAATTTTAGTTTTGAATCAATAAACAATGAGATTAATGTTGACTACCCTGAGTTTTTAATGAATGCACAAAAAGTAGTTAAATTCATAAAAATGAATTTTACTACTTTTGAACTTTTTGGTTTTTTAAAGTTTTTACAAACTGAAATTCATCAGTTCGTAATCAAATTTTTCAGAAAAAAGTTACTGGGGAATTTGGTAAATAAATCGAACTGCATCTGGATGTTTGTCATTGTTGGAATTCATTTTTTTCAATGACTGCGCCTTTCTTAAAAATTAAGAAATGATTTTTTCAGACATTTACTGAATAAAATGCTCTTGATGTAATCAACAAGCTAGATTTTTAGTTATTAGCTTTATTACATGCCGCTTTAGAGCCAGCAAAACTAACAGTGGAATCGCCTAGCAGAGAAAACACAAAATTATCGACTGCAGTTACAGTTTTTGAATTCATGCTTGCAAAACTATTTGCTATGAACGATACAGAAATTGCATCTTTATTGCATTCAAATTTAAAAAAAAATGCATCAATGAAAAACTTAACCGAATAGTTATGCAATTGTTAAAATGCCTTCATTTTTTCCATTAAAAAACAATTAAAACTTGGCTGGAAAACATGCTGGATTACTGGAAAAATTTTGCTGGAAAATTTAGGCTTTTTGGATTTACTTCTAATGATGAGGAACCACTACAGCTGAAGCACCATGTACAACATTGGAAAGTACACCTGTTTCACTTAAGGATGAATTAACGCACTTCTCAATAAAAATAGCATCACACACTTGCCCAAACGGACTGATCAATTCTAATGGGTTACACAAGAGTTTTTGTTGTACAGAAATACAGAGAAAAGAACTTTTTATATTGCGATTCTATCTATAAAGTCTACCTCAGCGTGTCATCAACATGCCTCAAGATGTCGAAAGCATTTTTTCCAGCTGCACTAGTTTCTGCACAAAAATCACGATTATCTGATGAATTGTTAAAATCTTTGGTTTACTTATAAATTTTTGAAAATTATAATAAGTCATTATAAGTTTTGTTTTGAAATATAAACATAATGTTTGTACAGTTTGTTTAAATAGCTTTTTTAATAAACAATGCTTAACTTACATAAGTTTCATTATTTAACAAGAAAACCCAAAAACCACGGTTAACCACGTTTTTTTTTTTTTTTTTTTTTAAACTAAAACCAAAACCGCAGTTTTTTTATAAATGTGGTTTTTTGGAAACCCTACATTTTAATTTACATGTTACTTAGAAGTATTGTGTTAAATTGATGTACTGAATGTTAATGAAAATCAAGTTTCACTAAAGACATTAAATATATGCACAACAACTGTATTTAAGTAATATTTAAAAATATACAAATACATTACAAGTGCTAAATATAAAAATAATTTATTTCTTTACAATAATAAAAAAGTATTAAAAAAAATGGTTTTATACAAAAAAGTATATATATATATATATATATATATATATATATATATATATATATATATATATATATATATATATATATATATACAAAAAAAAGTGTATATATATATATATATATATATATATATATATATATATATATATATATATACATACATACAAATAAAAATGCAAAGAAAACTCACTGCAGACACTAAGCCGTCGGCCCACTGACGTGAATTTACATAAACATTTGTACCATTCACAGCGATCTTTAAAAATTATATCAATTTTAGAACAGATTTTAAATTGATGAAACTTTTTTAACAATGATTTTATGAATGAAAAAAAAAGTTATACTCTTCCTGTCTCAAGCAACTCTTTTTGCTGTAGAGAAGCAGCTTTTAATAAATTTGCAGATGCAGATATAACTTCTTTTGCAGCCTCTAATATGCGATCTTCAAAATTTAATTCAAAGCCAATTTTCTAAATATTTTTAAAAAAATTAAAGTAACTTTATCGGTGAATTTTGAATTACCTAAAACTATGTTAAAAACTTTAAAATGCATTTTTTTTTTTATTATTTTAAATATTTGTATCAAATCGCCCTTTAATTATTTACTTCTGTTGTTGAATTAATTTTTAATACTTTTTCCAAAATTTGTATTTATGCATAATTTAATAAAATTTCATAATTTTATATCAATAAATAACTTTATACTATAAATTTAGATAACAAATTCATTCACTTTTTTCATATACTTCAATCACTTCAATTCATAACACTTTTCAATATGTAACTTAAAATTAATTCTAGACCTCATGTATCAATTTATTAGCTTTTAATAATAATAATTAAGAAAAAATTAATTTATATATAATCATAGTATTTGCAGTTAAATAGTAGTTATTGGTACGCAAGGTGAGAGAAAAATCAATGAAAATTGACAAATAGTTGTTTTTTATAAACAACTTTTATTTTTATTATTTTATATGAGTTTCTAACAAGGAATGTAAAACAAAATGTATAACAAAAATTAGATTTTACTTTAAATAACAATAAATAAATATATAGCAAAAAAGCTACATTATTATTTTTGTTTTAACTATTATGATTTATTATTACTTTATGATATATACAACTTTTCAAATTTTAAAACTGCTGAACAGTAAAAATAATCAAATAGTGTAAACCTTCTTAAATGTTTTTGGATTGAGTTCTGTAATTTTTTTAACAGATGCTTCAACAGATGCTGCTGCTTCTAGCAAACCAATTTCAGCAACATTTGAATCATTGCAGCAAACAAGATCGCTTTCTAAAACAAAAAAAAGCACTTCCTATAAGTAAAATAAAATTAGTTTATTAAACAAAAAAATGAACACTTTATTTAATGAAACATTATACTTTAAAATTTCTTAACAACTTTCTAAAACAAAATTAAATAAAAAAAACAAACTTTTTAGGGTAATTCCATGTCAAATCAGCAGACTCATGTCACCCATGTTTTGGATTTTGCTAATTTTTTTTTTATGTTATAGGGTTTATGAAACTTAGGAAAATCTGAAGATTGAAACCTCTAACGACTTACAATTGTTAAGATATTCATGATTTAATACTCTTATTTATGCTGACCCTGCATTTTTTTCAAAATATTTTGTTTTTAAATGGCAATATTTTATAAACAAAATAAATTATCCATTTTGCACATAGACAACCTACCACGATACAACAAAATAAAGTATTATCCATTTTGCACATAGACAACCTACCACGGTACAACAAAATAAAGTATTATCCATTTTGCACATAGACAACCTACCACGGTACAACAAAATAAAGTATTATCCATTTTGCACATAGACAACCTACCACGGTACAACAAAATAAAGTATTATCCAGGAATTTTGCATATAGACAACCTACCACGGTACAACAAAAACTCTTGTGTAACTCGGTACAACAAAAACTCTTGTGTAACCCATTAAAATTTTTTGACCACCTTAATTACATGTAAATTAGATAATAAAGAGTTATATTTTGGGGTATTTTGATGTTCAAAATGATGATGTCACCTTCAAAATTTTTTATTGAGGCATTTTTATAACTTACAATATAGAAATCAAACATCACTAATAATAAAAAATATATTACTGCAATTTTGGACTTTTCTAAATGCAGCCTTTTAAGTGAAGCTTAAAAGAAACTTATTAAGCTATACCTTAATTGTTGTGAAAAGTTATTGTTAAAGTCTTTTTGAGGGCAATAATAAACCTATACTTTATTTCTATTTTTTTATATATAAGCTTTACTTAAAAGGCTCCATTTAGAAAAGTCCAAAATTGCAGTAATATATTTTTTATTATTAGTGATGTTTGATTCCTATATTGTAAGTTATAACAATGCCTCAAAAAAAAATTATTAAGTTGACATCATTATTTTGAACATCAAAATAATTCAAAATCTAATTCTTTATTATCTAATTTACATGTAATTAAGGTGGTAAAAAAAATTTAAATTTGTATCCGCCATGTGGATGATTGTCTTTGTACAAAATTTCAGGATGATATCTCATTTTGTTTATAAAATATTGCCATTAAACAACAAAAAAGTATTTAAAAAAAAAATGCTGGGTTAGCATAAATAAGAAAATTAAATCGTGAATATCTCAACAAATGTAAGGAATTGGAGGTTCCAAATTTCAGATTTTCCTGATTTTTATAAACCCTATAACATATAAAAAAATTAGCAAAATCCAAAACATGGAGTGACAGTTTTTTCTGCTGATTTGACATGGAATTATCCTTTGTTAAATGAAAAAAGAATTACTTTGAAGTATTTAAAAAACTTTCTTAAACAAATTTAAATGAAAAAAACGAACACTTTCTTAAATAAAATAATAATTACTTTTAAAAATTTAAATAAATTTTTAAAACAAAATTAAATAAATTAATATAAAATAAGAAAAATTCGTAATTATCAATATTACCAATACATAACTATTACGTAAAATATACTTACACTAATAATAAAAACAATTATATGAAAAAAAATAAAGTTTTTTGGAAGAAAAAAAAATATTTTTATGTTTTTTTTTGTGAAACATAACTGTTAAATTAAAAAAGATCAAGTCTTGCGCCATATCTTGCGCCATATCTTGCATTAATAACAGAATACTAAAGTTCATGCATTAGATTAATAATGGAGAATTGTTTCATGCAATAAATTAATAATGAAGAAGTGTTTAATGCAATAGATAAAAATTACAAAAGAAAGTTGATATTAAATTACTTAAGAAACTTGATTTCCTAGATAAAATTGTTGACAAAAGAAAAAAAAATAGTAAAACCTTATAAAATTTATGTACAAAGAAGATCAAAAATTTCAAAATGCAATATAAACAATGCACACAAAAAATTATGATCACAAGGAGAAATTTTTTTAAGTACAACCACTGACAAAATGACTCAGAAGAAGAAATTTTAATAAAAGGAGAATAAGAGAGATGTACTATTAAAAAGATGAAGGAAAAAAAAAAAAAAAATTCTCAGCAATTTTTTTATGTTTAAGATAAAAGCATTATTTCAACTTTAAAATTAATTTAAAGTTGAAATAATAAGTTTACATTATTTCAAAGTTAAAAATGTGCATCTGTACAAAAAGAAAACTATAAAAAAACAAAAATTTACTAAAAATTGATGAATGAATTAAGAAGGAAAATATTTATCACTGAATAAAAGGAAAGTATCAACTTACTGAAAAGAAAAAAGAACTTCAAAAGAAAACAGTCTTTAAAATATTAAAAAAATGATTTCGAAAATTCAAACTGAATTTAACAATGAAAAAAAAATGACAAACATGTGAGTACATACCCAAACTATTGAAGCTATTGCAAATCCAAAACTACAAGCTGTTAGTAACAACTACTTCCTAACAGCTTAATCATTTAAAAAAAGCTACAAGCTATTAGTAACAAATACAAGCTATTAGTAACAACTACAAGCTATTAGTAACAACTACTTATTCCTAACAGCCTAATCATTTAAAAAAAACTCTATTTGCAATGAAAATTTGGAAAAAAACTAATGGTAATTAACTGAGATGATTTGAACTTACTGTTTCGACTTACTGTTTCAACTTCGAAATGTTTCCAGTAAAAATATTTTTGAGCAAAATATTTTATCAAGCAATAGTTATAAAACTAAATTAAAATTCAAAATAGATGCAAAATGTTTTCTCAAATAAATATAAAAATAAATTACAATACATTTCAAAATGAACATAAAATTATTTTTTTAAATAAATATAAAATGTATTCTCAAAGTTGGCAACTAAAAGTTAAAAAATCTCTAAAAAACCGAAAAAAAAAAAAAAACCAACTTACCGGTATCTGACAACTTAAGAACAAACTTAAGAGTAGGGAATGCAGGTTTAGATTGATATATGCTGACTTGATTAGACTGAAACATATTGATTTCTTAACAAAAAGAAAGTTTTTATTTGAAATAAAAAATTTCCATTTTCAAATACTGCAATGAAATAGTAAAAAATCATAAATTTTTTAAAAGGTACCCTCTGCAGTTCCCACAAGTTCTCCTACGGACTGTGTTACTCTTTGAGTTAGAGTGGAAAACTCTTCTTTTAGTTCAGGTTGATCTTGCATTTGAACTAAATGTTTAAGAACACCACAATACATCTCATTTGCTTCATTAACACTGTGAACGATTGCCTCACGAACAATATCATCTTCTGTACACTGTATCATTGCCTTAATTTTTTTTAAAATTTTATTAAAAAAAAAAAATTAGTTTCCTAATTAATTTATGCTTTTTTACTTTTTTTAAAGTTGTAAGGAGATCAACTTCAAATAATGGCAACTTAAAATATCACTGTAAAAATTTAAATTTTTTTACCTGAGCAACTTCAAAAAGCTCCAAACACTTTGTGCGACCAACATTGGCAGCTTCAATTATGTCAGCTTGCCTAAGTGAAGCACCTGCAGCTTCTACTTTTGCTATTGCAAAATTAATACCTTTAGTTGCTTGAATTAGGTCATCTGGTGTTATATTCTTTGTCGTTCTTTTTTCTGGCATTGGTGAAGATGTATTTTTCTATGCATGTGATAATAATAATAATAATAATAATAATAATAATAATAATAATAATAATAATAATAATAGAAATGATAATAATAATAACAACTTTTATTTTTACATTTTAATTCAACATCAATCAGATCAATTAGATCAAACTTACAATAATTGCTTGTTGAATTGCTTCTAATGCTGACTCAACAGCTTTTGCTCCACGTAATGATTCATTTTTAACATCATTTTTAATACTTTTCACCGCTTTAAGTAAAGAAGCTAAATTGGTAACCATATGCTACAATTTAAAAAGAAGAAGAAAAGATAAGTTAAGCAAAATGAATAACAAAAAATTTCAAAAAGTTTAAAAAATTTTCATTGTAGCTTTATGGTTTTATAATAATTGCACATTATTAACAACATTAACAATAAATAAACCTTGGATATTGCTTTCATATCTCCTACTGTACCAGAATCTGAAATTTTTTCTGTTTCATTTATAAGATCTTTTAATGCAGAGATCACATCTTTAACAGCATTTAATAACAATACCTGTAAAATAAATAATTTTTTGAAAATTAAAATTTTATATTTGTCTATAATTTATTGATTATTATAAATTTCAAAAAGAAAAAAAAAATTTGGGTGAATTTGTGACCATTACCATGTATTACAAGTGAGTATTAATAATAAAAAAAATAATATGTTTTATTTAACAAATAAATTCTTTATTTAAAATTTATATTTAAAATCAATCTTACTAAGACATTACACTTTTTGTTAACTTTTTATAACAATTTTTTTAGAACAATGGAATTTTTAGGACATTTCGGCTATACTTTTGAAATTAGGTCGATAATAAGACTTTGGAAACAGTTGATAAAAAGACGTTTTATGAATCAGGAAAACCTAAAAATGGAAGAGAGTTTTTTTTTATGGCAACCCAAGAAAATCACAAAAAGAATTCCGGTCAGATTTGAAGTTGTAGTAAAAGTAATTTGATGATAGAGTGAGTATGATAAAGATAACTGCGTGGTCGAAACCAACTTTTAAAACCATTCAGTGTGGTAAGCTTTAAAGTCACCAATAACAATAATGATGGAAGAGAAGTAAAGAGAAAAAGCATGGTTAATTTGATCAGAAATTGAGTGACACATAAAAAAAAGCTTAGAGGATTCAAACTTGATTTCTCAAATTGGTTAACTAATGTGTATACACCCAATTATATACTGAAGCCAAGCATGTGATTACTAGAGTCTTTGTGAATGAAAGGATAGCGTCCATTAATACTGAGATCTGAAGAAAATAGAATTAAATTTTTAAAATTTAAATTAGTCTCACAAAGAGCAACTTATACTATAAAACACATTTATTGAACTTGAAATAAACAAATTTATTATCTAAACACATCAGTTGTACACAAATAAAATTTTTTTATTGAACAATCAATTTATATTGAAATTTGTGAGATAACCTTCTTAAAGAAAATGGCAGTAAAAAACTGCAGAAAACTAAAGCAAATATAAAAATGAAGAAAACTAAAGACTAAGCTATGTGTACTGAAATTTTAAAGTTTCAAAAAATCTTTTTCAACTACTTTTTAAAAAAAGTAGTTGCAAATATTTTGAAACTTTATAAAATCAATTTAAATGAATAAATGAATTTTGAAAACTTTAGTTAGAAAAAAAAATTTATAATAAAAAAAATATATATATTTATACCTGACCATCAGCATCCTCTGTACCTAAAGCAGTTGCAGCTTTCTTCATTACAGAACCAAGCTTGTTGGCATTTGCAATGGCATCCTTAACCAAAACAGCAACATTTGTTTGAGAGACTGGAAACATATTTGTAATTGCTTTTAGATTTTTCCCAACATTCTGAATGGACACTAACACTTCCTACAAAAAAAAGTGTTTAGAAACCTAGAGCTTAACTTTTTTAAACATTTTTACATTTTAACAAGACTGCAAGTGCAAGAGTTGTTTAAGAAAAGAGTTACTAGAAAGTAAAGAAGAAAGTTGCTCATAGAAGACTTAAAATGTGTAAAGCTCGTAAATTAGCCAAAAAAACTGGAAAGAACTTCAGAGCATTGATGTTCAAGCAAAAAAACAAAATAAAATAAGATAAATAAAAGTTTTTTGAACATGAATGAACAGTTACAGTAAATGACTTTGGTTTATAACAAGTTATGCAAGATTGTGTTTCGGAATATGGAACAAGAGATAATATATTGTTTAAGCAAACGGAAGTATTTGTAGAAAAAATTTGAATTGTTTTAGCTTGACAGCTACATCAGTTCTAATTACATTTATAAAACTTTTTTGGAACTTGTCTAAATGACAAAGAACATCATTAAAAGAATCAAATATGACAACAGTATTCCAACGAGCATACAAAAGATATTCATAGAGGCAGAAAATCAAACAAAAAAAAAAATTATGGTTTCTGTGAGAGGTCAGTAGTAAAAGATAATCTAAGAATATGTGAAAGCACTCAGTGAAAGCATTTATCAGGATAGAAATACCAAAGTTTTTGCAAAAATGATTAATAGAAAACAAGTTTTTGAGTTTCATAAGAAAACATTTTTGAGTGAAACTCAAGAATTTTTAAATTGAATTTCACCAGTCACAGCCCAAGCCGTGGCAAGCAAGCCCCAAGCTGTCACAGAAGAGAAATAACATTCCAGATTGGCTGTCTGTTCTAGGTGATTAAAAGGTGATGGTTTTTTATCAAGACTGGAGAAAATAGTTGTATAATCAGCAAATAGAGGTAAAATTGTCAGGAAAATCATTAATTTGATACAAAACAACATGGGACCAAAAATGAAATTTTGTGAAACCCCTGAGGTTACTAAAAACAAAGGAGAGTGTTGCCATCAAGAACAACTCTAATATTGTTATTAAAAAGGAATGTTTCAATTTGAAAAACTTAAACAGATAAACTATGCAAAGAGAGTTTATGAAGCAGACCACCACGCTAGATTTTATTAAAAGTCTTTAATATATCAAGAGCAATAGCCCTTTGCCATACTGTTTTTACCAAATGCACATTACATCAAATAATCACAATTTTCTATTTTCATGGCTAACAAATTAACAGTAAAATAACATCTACTGTTCTAGCGATGAAAATAGTTTGTCAGAGAATAAGTTGCAGGGTATTGATAGTTAAAGAGTAAGTTGCAGGGTATTGATTGTCCATGAATAAGTTGAAGGGTTTATTAAGATAAGATATTAAAAGTTATTTAAGTATATTAATACTGAAAATCATTTTAACTAAAAAGATATTTTAATATATATAAACTAATATTATCAGAACTTTTAATAACTCATTCATAATTTTTAACATTCATAGAAAATCTTCAGACATTTTATAAATATAAAATGTTTTATCAACAGCACTTAAAATTAAATATGATATAAAATTACTTTAAAAAATGGCAACCTCTTTATGTTCTTCAAAAGTAGAATCATCAATATTAAAAAGATTATGATTCTCTGCAACCGCTTTAGTTGAATTGATATCAGCAATAAGTTCATCTAATGTACCAATTGTATCAACGCACTCTTGTTGACCAATTGTATCAACGCACTCTTGTTGACCAATTGTATCAATGCACTCTTGTCGACCAACAAAACCATTTTCAACATTTAATACAAGCAAAGCAACCTAAAAACCACATATAAAACTAGATAAAAAGAACACAAAAATTTTTGGTTCTATTAAGTGTGTGATGAACTTAGATAACTCCCTATAAAACTAAAAAAACACAAACTTTTAACTAATGTTTTATCCAGATAAGATGTCCATTAAAAATTAACTATTAATTCAATATTATTTCAACCATTGTAAATTAACCAATAAGTTTTATAACATATAAAACAAACATTTTTCTTCATAATTTGATAATATATATATATATATATATATATATATATATATATATATATATATATATATATATATATATATATATATATATATGTATGTATGTATATATATATATATATATATATATATATATATATATATATATATATATATATATATATATATATATATATATATATATATATATATATATATTAGGGTGGTTCAAAAATGGGTCATTGTAAAATTTCAACAAGAGTGGAAGCTTATAAGGTGCCAGATATTGGTTTTATATATAATTTTTTTTTTTTTTTTCGTTAATGTTCAAGGGTGGCTCACGGGCTCTAAACATTTTAATTTTGATGAGTTTGTTGAAAAAAAAAAAAATCATCAGTAAACTCAGAATGAGTAATAGAAAGAAAATAAAAATGCACTCTTAATGAAATTTTTTTTTTGGCTTTTTCAAGCTTTTTTTTTTAAGTTTCTTATGACAACATTTTTATCATTTTTTACAGTTAAAATCTCATATGTATAGAAAATCTTTTACCAGTATAAATAATTTTTTTTAGATAATTTAAAATTAATTAAGATGAGAAAGAAGACTATCTAGACTTCAATGTACTCTATAACCCACATATTTTCTCAGCGTACAACAGTACTGAGTACAACTGTACACATTTATTCCAAACTGGCAATAAGACTGCAAGTGACGTCAATCAAGTGTTTGAACTCGTAGCAAAACTTAAACAAATACAAGTGAAGTTCTAAGAAATATGTCTATTCTTCAATATTAAAATATATAAAGTTAAATTATGTTATGTCTATTATTTCTTTTATATTTAAATAGATAAAATGCCAAGAACTCCTGGGAAAAAAAGAAAGAGGGCTGATGAAATATTCTTAGTAGTTAAATCAAGGGACTCACTTCCATCTAAGCAATTTGCCACAGGAGAAGAGATTATTCAGTATTACCTTCACCTTCATAAAATCACGCCTTATGCTGCTCTGAGAAATCTTGCCTGCTGTACCAACAGTAATGGTTTTACACAAATCTGTCCAAAAGATAAGAATCACTGCTGTATTATGTCTAAGCTGGTGGTTCCTTGGAAGCTTGGGGGGTATAGAACTCGTGATGTACAGAATTCTCTCAGGTTTGTTTCATTAATATTAATATAAATTCTAAAAATGTTTGTGGAGATGTGAGTGAGAAATCTGATGAGCAGTTGGTGGAATTAGATGAAGATGAATTAGATGAAGGTGATGTCAATGAAAGTGATCTGGATGAGTTTGTTTCCACAAATGTTCAGGATAAAGAAAATAGTGTACTTTTACCTAAAGATATTCTTAGGCGTACTGCTATAACTGCTGCAGGTGAAGGTCTTTCAGTGAATCAGCACACTACTATCATAAGCAGTGTAATAGCTCTCTCAGGAGAAAATGTTGGTAAATATGTTGTCTCTAAATCTTCTTCTTTAAGAGCCATAGATCATGTGATTAACTCAGAAGCTGAAAAAATTCGACAGTACATCAAGAACCTGGCCAACTTATATCATAAATTGATTTCTGTTCATTTTGATGGAAAGATAGTAAAAGAGTACACAGGAAATTTTTCTCTTACTCAAGATAGATTTGCTGTACTAGTGAAAGTTAATGGAAAAACTGAGTTACTAGGTATTCCTCCTATTGATTCAGGGACTGAAGAACAGCAGTTCAATGCTATTTATGAACTTCTAGAGAATTATGGTCTCACTAACCAAGTGCAATGTATCTGTTTTGATACCACTGCATCAAACACTGGAAGGCTTCAAGGTGTAAATACCAGAATGTCAGAAAAGTTAGGACGGCCACTTCTTCTCCTTGCCTATTGACACCATGTTCTGGAGCGTCATATTACTCACTTCTGTAAGATGTACCTAAGTAATAAACTTACAGGACCAGATAACCAGCTGTTTAAAAAAATAAAGTTAGTCTGGAATGATCTAGAGAAAGATATACTGCCCCTAAAAAGGATTGAAACTCCACCTGAAACCTCGATAAACCAACATCTGAACAGTTCTACAGAGATTTAATCAACAATAAGACATACAAGAAGGTAAAATGAATCATTCATTCTAGTATATTATTATTCTGTAACCTATTTTTGTATGTATTTTAATGTTAAAAAACAATAATAAAATACAGGATGGGAAATCACGAAAAGATTACCAGGAGTTAGGTGAGCTCTCTTTGATAATTGTTACTAAGGAGGAGAGATTCAAGTTTCATATGCCTGGACCTGTACACCATGCCAGGTTCATGGCTAAAGCCTTGTGTTATCTGAAAATGTACCTTCTACTCAATCACATTCCTGGTTTAACTAAAGAGAACAAAAAGGAAATATCTGATATATCAGTATATTTTATGCTCAATGGTTCCTTAGAGCTGAGTTGCCAGCTGCTTCTCCATATCAGGCAAAGTTATAAAAGGTTTAGAATAAAAATAAAAATGACAACATAAACTATAACAAATGAATATTATTTACTTTAAATATTTGATGGGACATAAAAGCCCTCTGGCAAATGAAGAGGTTTATGGAAATAAACCTTCCTGGAGCTACTGAAGTAGTTCGATCAATGTCAAGGCATGACTGGTACTTAAGTCCAGTTCTAGTTGTGTTTGCTTTAGCTGATAAGAATTACCCTGATAGAGACAAGTTAGCTCAGAAACTCTATAGTACTCATTTGGACAGACCCAATGTCTTCAAACTGGAGCGTATTGAAGTAGATAAGAAAGTTATTCACTCACTAAACTACTCCCAAAATCAGCCTCCTTCCTTAGCATCTCTTATTACAAACCAATCTTGGCTGATCTTTGATAAGATTGGCCATGGGAAAGGGGAGTTGCAGTGGCTTAAAACCCCTTCAAGATTCTGGGAGCTGAATGATCTTTATCTAGAGTTTGAGACTACCATCAAATCTCTAGATGTAGTCAATGATTCTTCTGAGAGAGCTATCAAATTAGTTCAGGAACTTATTATGAAATCCAATAAGGAGGAGAAGAGGCAAGATATGTTCTTGTTTAACCATGTCTACAAGAGAAGTAAATAAGGATCCAAGAAGAACGATCTCGCAGCAAATGCTACTTCCAGCATTATTTGACTTTTTAGTCAACAAAACTATACCATGATCAACAAAAAAAAAGATTTTTTTAAAAATTTTCTCAAATTTATATATAAAATGCAATATTGTGGTATGATATCTAAAACCTTTGATGGTTTAACTGTAAAAAATGATAAAAATGTCGTCATAAGAAACTTAAAAAAAAAAAGCTTGAAAAAGCCAAATATTTGGTTTTCCTTATTTTTTCAGGTTCATTCAGACTTTTTACATAAAAAATGTCATTAAGAGTGCATTTTTATTTGTTTCTATTACTCATTCTGAGTTTACTGATGATTTTTTTTTTCCCCCCATTGTTTTAGGGTGGCCCACGGGCGTTAAAATTTCAAAAAAATCAACAAACATCATCAAAATTAAAATGTTTAGAGCCCGTGGGCTACCCTTGAACATTAACGCAAAAAAAAAAAAAAAAAAAAAAAAAATTTTTATATAAAACCAATATCTGGGCACCTTATAAGCTTCCACTCTTGTTGAAATTTTACAATGACCCATTTTTGAACCAACCTAATATATATCAGGCTTTCCCAGGAAAGGCGTGCGGTCGCACGCCTTGTTTGTCCACGCATAGAATAAATTTTTCAGAAAATGTGACCGCGGCAATATTTCGTAAGAAAGCGGAAATTATCCATAGAGAATAAAAAATAATATTAAAAAAATGAAACGAAGTCTAAACAAAGTATAAAATTGAAATTGGATGTAAGAAAAATATTTCGATAATAAAAAAAAATTAAAAAAAAAAAATTCTTGTAACAAAAAAAAAAAAGTCTTGAACATTTTTTTCAAAATTTTATACTGTTTTTGTTTTCTTTTATTAGGGTTGCTATTTTCAGCTTCGAAATTTGATACAAGTCAAGGAAAAGACGACGATAAGTCATAAAGTTTTTACGAAAATAAAAAGACTTGATACGTAATTTATTCACGAACTTTATCAGACAATGTATTAAAAAACTGATTCATTATTTACGCTAGACAAATTTGGTTAAACTTTTTCATTTAATTTAGTTTTTACGAAGGTTTATGCAAAGGCAATGACTTTATTCCCCAATACTTAGACAAGAAAATAAATTGCTGTTTTAATTATTAAATATATTATTTGAGATTTTAAACATAACAAAATTTTAATGTGAAAAAAGTTCTTTCTCGACTTATTCTAAACTGATTTTACTGAGTCAATGCTCGCCTTTTATTACGTTGAAATTATTCAATTGCATAATTTTGTAATTAAGAAAGAAGTTAAAAAAATAAATGCATTGCTTCTGTTGTCATTGTTACGAAAACAGTTCCTTCGGGACATTATTATATATTAACACTCGTTCACAATGTCAACTAATGATCGCAAAATAAGCAACTCAATCGTTTGACAATAACATTTTCTTTCATTTAAAAAAAAAAAAAAACATATTTTACTAATAAATAGCAATCGTTTTCGTGTTTTCTTACGTATCAATACATTCAAACATTAAAATCAATACATTTAAACATTTAAATGTATTTACGAAACATTTAAAAATTGTTTATAGTTCTATCGTAAATTTTAAAGTATTACTGACTGATAAAAGTCATAAACAATATTTACATTAAAAGGTCCTATATTATTTACTTTAAACATTAATCTTTTTCTTTCTGACTTGATTTTTCTCATTGATCCGATTTTTCATAGCTTAAATAACTACCACCCTAAATAAATAAATAAAATATAGGTAAATTTTTTTTTTAATAATATGCATTAAATTTTTAATTTTAAAGCACAAACAGATTTCTGTTATTCACTTTAAGATTGCTTGCATTTTTGCGGTATTTTCGTTTAGCTTTGTTTTGGCGCGATTTCTTGAAACGCATAATAATAAAACGTGGTCAGTTAGTCAGAAAAATTTATTCTATGCGTGGACAAACAAGGCGTGCGACCGCACGCCTTTCCTGGGAAAGCCTGATATATATATATATATTCGTTTTTGTAAACGTTAATTTTTAATTTTTAATTTGTAATTAATAGCTGATGATTGTCGAAAGGCATGAAACTTTAAGTACTATTATAATGTTGTTTTTCTTCATTTAGATAAAATATATATATATATATATTGCTCTATTATCATAATATTGAGCACTGTTTTTCGTACAAGAGTTTTGTATTGTTTTATATAATACATAATTAATCAATCAATCAATATATATATATATATATATATATATATATATATATATATATATATATATATATATATATAGGCCTTGCGATGAATAAGAGCTGCGCGACGCATAAGCACGACGTGATTTTTAACGTCATTAAATTCTTTTTATTTGCTTTTCATATTTATCGACATTAACTGCACCAATTTATTTAATTACCGCAAAACTACTTTAAATCGTTTATGTAGAAATGTTATTATTTAAAAATGTTTTGGAATGTTTCGTTTTTTAAAATGTAAAAACATTTGTTTATTTTCTCGAGTTTGTCACGTTTTGTCTATACTAAACGAATAAAAAACATTATAACTTAAATTTAAAAAAGATTATAAAATATGCTAATATTTGATTTTTTTTTTCTTAAATATGTAATTTAAAGTTTTTCAAATAATTATTTTTTCTTTTTAAAAAGTCAGCGAGTAATAAACTGGAAATTTTAATATTGTACGATTAAAAACTGTGCAATAGCTAATATTTTTACAAGCGATTTTATATAATATTTATTTATTTATTTTTATTTATTTTCATAAAGCGGTTGATAAGCACAATCACTCGTATTAATAAAAAACTTAAACGAACGTTTTGAATAGATTTTTAATGTTAACAAGGAATTTTATTTCTAGTAAAATAAAATAAAATGTTAGAATAAAAATCTTATAGGTATAAAAGAAATATTTTAGCAAAAAAATTATTCTTAAAAATTATTCTTAAAAATTATTCGAAAAACTATTGACGTTCTATTTTTCAGCAGCTGTTCTTGAGCACGCTTCGATGAGTTTCGGTAACTTTTAACATAAAAGCGATCGTTATTATTTAAGTAATTTTTTTGAGTTCTTTTTACAAAAATTTTAATAACTGTACTTTTTCATTGAATCAAGTAGAATACGTTTTAATATTAATCTTTTTTTTTTTTATTTGCCCTCACCAATTTTTAAAATGTTTCCTCGAAATCACTCTTAAATACTTTAAATACGTCTAACAGTTAATAAATATTTTTAAATCTATGGAATAATTTTAAAACCTATCAAACCCCTGTAAAATAATTATTTAAGTTTAAAATCTAAAACTAAAAGAAAGTATTTTTGTTCAATTTTATCGACAACGTTGCTATTGCTGAATAATTTTATTAAAATGTTAGCTTAAAAGATTTAAACTTTTTTTTTTAATTTTTGAATTTTTTCTACTTGAAAATAATGAGCATATTTAATTTTTTTAAATTCAAACTTTTATTTCAACTGCATGCGGTTTTTAAAATACTTGATTAAATGTTAAAATAATCGTCAATTACTTCATTAAAATTCCGCTCAAAAATATCTTTAAATATACTCAAACAAAAAATTTTTTGCTCGACGCAAATAGCCCTAGCTACACGCAAAATCGCCCTTGGACGACGTAAAATTCACATCGCCCGACGCTTTATCGCAAGGCCTGATATATAAAGTGTAATTAAATAGAAAAATACAACTTTATAATGGAACTAAAAGTTTCATGCCTATCGGCAATATTCAGCCATATATATTATACAAATCAAGAAAAAACCGTTAAAAAATACAAAATACAAAAACAGCAGTAGAATGAGTTCCAACGTCAAAAAAAAAAAAAAAAAACGAATAAAAAAGAAGCATAGTTGTAAAACTGCTAATCGCCAGTGTCAAATTGGGCAAGAAGAAATTTGTTTTTATGCCGGCACTTAGATAATATTTCACTCTTTTTATTTAACAAATTTGGGTGTTTGAAAAATAAAATTTTGTACTTTTCGTTTAAGCATAAGTTACATCGTTTTGTTACAGGGTTATAGGCATCGCACTGTTTAATTATTTTCCACCTAACAACCGGGTTTAAGTTTTCATCTTTTAATCTCTAAACCTCCTTTGATAATTCAGTATCATTTTTGTATTTGTGAATTTTAAAAGATTTTATGTGATTAGCATATCTAATTTTAAATGATGTTTCGCTTATGCCAATGTAAAATTTATTGATGGGAGTTTGAACAAGATTGTTTGAGCATACATTAGCTTGATATACTATATTTTTTGTTAAGCATTGGTTTGATAAAGGGCAGGTGTTTTTATCTATGCAATTGCAATTATTTTCAGCTGATTCTTTCTTGTTGTTTATAACATGGCGATTGTGGGCGTTTAAAACGGATTTCATATTAGGCATACAGCTATAACTTACTTTTAATGTGTTTCTGTTAAAAATTTTGTGCAACTTGTGATTTTTAGGGAAGTGCTAATCAATTAATGTTAAAAATATTTTTCCTATATTCGTGCTGACGTTTTTGCTAAAAGGCGGGTTGAACCAAATGATGTTACGTTTACGGTTCTTAGTGTGAGATAATATTAAGTTAGGTTGGTAAGAAAGATTGTAATTAAAACCGGACTTTTTTAATGCTTCATTATACATTGGAGTGGATTTTTGAAAGATTTCCTCGCTTGACGAATTTGCTGATAATCTTAATTCAATAGAATGTGGGAGTTGCTTTAAAATACTGGATGGGTGGTTTGATTCAGCATGAATGTAATTTAAAGAGTTTCCGGGTTTAGAGTAAGGTTGGTAGGTGTGGTTGTTGAGGTTTAATGGACATTACGTACCAGTACCAGGTAATTTCAAATTACTGGGTACCTGGCAAAAATACATAAACTACAGGGTATCCATCAACTTCCTGATTCAACATCAGATTCCCGAGCATTTGAAAAATTTACCTAGCACCTTTAGGGGTAGCCAGGCACCTCCAAATTTAGCTAGCAACTCCAAAAATTACCAGGTACTTAGCTTAACAAAAAATAAGCACATACACAATAATAATAATCACTAGCTGATCTAAAAACTTCTTTGGGTCTGAAGCTGAACTTTTCTATACTTTTTCCTTATATATATATCCTACCATTTCTATACTTATCTATTCCACACTGATCATATCTATACCTAATATTTGTTTACTTTAAGAGCAAACAAGTTAACATGCGCACCCCTTTCAGTATACCTAAAGTTTATAAGAAATTTATAATTAGGTTTGTTTTTCTCCTAAATGCATATCATTGATAGCTCAGTGGTTTAGTGCGTTATTGAAATTTTACAACTATATAAAATTTGTTTTTAATGGAAATAAATGCTAAAAAATTAATGAGGTTTATGCAATGCAGTTTTTAAGTGAAAGACAAACAGTAAAACTTGATATATGTTTAAGTATGTTTTAAATTACATAACATGTTTAACTTCACAAATATTTTTTAAAGATTCTAAAAGTTTAAAATAAATTTGGTCCTTGGAGTTAAACCACGGCTTTCTTGTTCAGAAGCTCAGTGCGCTAACCACTCAGCCATGCAGGCACATTGGTCATCAAAACTTTAAAGTTATATAAAAATTGTTTTTAACAAATATAGATCAGAAATTGAGAAGTTGATGCAATTCAGTTTTTAAGTGAAAATCAAACTGTAAAACTTGATATATGTTTAAGTATGTTTTAACATTACATAACATAAAGTTTATGTATGTTCGATATAAGTTTCACGTTTGTTCACATTTTCTTATAAAGCAAAGGTAAGACTCTTTCTTGCCAATACCTCGGTTGCAATGGCTGCCAAGGGTTTCGTGTCAAATACGCTCCAAGGAGCACTACTACTATTAAAACTATTAATAAAACTATTAATAAAAAACTATAAATAAAACTATCAAGTTCGGCAATAGAGATTATTATATTTTTAAAATTTAATATAACTAACTTAATTGAACATTATATTTGTCTAAACATAGTTAAAAACAACATATTTAATGTAAACATTCATATATGTAATTCATATATATAAAACATGTTGAAATAAAATACCTTTGCAGAAACATCGCTGACATTTTCAGCAACAACTTTTTTATTAGCTTCTGTCTGATCAATATGAAACTTTTTGGCTGATGTCATCATTTTTATACAGGCATCACCTAACTCTAGAGTGTTAGCAATGAATTCTTTCCCCATCTATTATTTAAACACAAATCAAACTATATATATATATATATATATATATATATATATATATATATATATATATATATATATATATATGTATGTATGTATGTATGTATGTATGTATGTATGTATGTATGTATGTATGTATGTATGTATGTATGTATGTATGTATGTATGTATGTATGTATGTATGTATGTATGTATGTATGTATGTATGTATGTATGTATGTATGTATGTATGTATGTATGTATGTATGTATGTATGTATGTATGTATGTATGTATGTATGTATGTATGTATGTATGTATGTATGTATGTATGTATGTATGTATGTATGTATGTATGTATGTATGTATGTATGTATGTATGTATGTATGTATGTATGTATGTATGTATGTATGTATGTATGTATATATGTATGTATGTATGTAACAATAAAATTTAACCCTTTAAAATTAAAAACCTCTGATCTAATAATTTTTGCTTGCTTAATATCTTCACAAAGTTTTCCATAATTCATAGATACATGTTGAACTATTTCATCAAGATCATTTGGTATTGTACAATTTATTGCAGCTTGCTCATTTGGTTCTGTACAGCATCTTTCAGCCTTGATAATATATTCATAATTATTATTTGGTAGTATCAAACATAAGACATTTCCAGGGCTTGAAATAACTAGATTTATTATCTCAAAAGTATGTATCATAACCCATATTGTCCTACAGGCAGAATGGGTCACGATGTTTTGGCACTTAAAACTAAAGCCCTATATTTTATATAAAACATTAGAAAAAAATTTAAGTTTTTTTACCAAACAATGAGACTTTTGGGCAATCATTTTCAGTGCTTTTGCAACATTTTGATGATGAACAGTACTTAACTTTGTTGCGTCATTTTCTATAGTATTTGCTAATATCATCTCACCATCATTTTTTATGGGATTTGATAATATCATCTCACCATCATTTTCTAATGGATCTGATAGCATTGTCTCACCATCATGATCAGCTAACTAAAAAATGATATCAAATTAGAAAAATTCTATCAAAAATAAAAAATTTAAAAATATTTTATTGAAAAAACATGATTAATCATGTAACTAAGCGTTATTATATAGTAATAAAGTTTAACATCTATTTAAAAGCAAATATTTAAATTCTTATGTTAAAAAATTGATTATGTAATTTCATAATGGTATACATACTAATGTGCCAACCTGGGTAATATTATACATACTAATGTGCCAACAATTCTGGGTATAAAGTTTTCAGTCACAAAATGTTTTAGATAAAAAAGATAAAAAAAAATTCTTACATTTTTCTTATTGATTTTAACTGCTTTTACAGCACAATCCCATCCATCATTTTCAACAGATATACATCCATCATTTTCAACAGATATAGCTTTTAGCAGTTCTTTACTTTCTTTTAATGCTGTTTTAAAACTATTATTGCTTTCAACAACTGCAGGCTCCAAATTACTTGTATCAGGTTGAAAATTGCTTATTTGCTTCATATGTATAAAAAATTATATATACAAAAAATTGTATAAAAATATATATTAACAGAAAATATAACTAATGTGTATAATCAAAGTGTGAGATCAATGTATACAAAGACATTCACATTTATGTTCACTTAAATCAATTGTGGTAGATGTAAGTATAAATACATCTCCTGAGGGTTTTGGTTTAAGCAGTTTTTTTATTAAAAAAATTTCTCAAACTTATAAGCTTATTTTATTCTTGCTTTTTAATTATTGATTTAAAATGGAACTTTTTTGGGAATGGGAAATCATTGACAGCAGAACGTTTCAGATACTGTTGCCAATAGAGATATGAAAACTGTTAGTGGCTGTCATAAGAAAGTATTTTAAAGACAACATGGTTAGGAGGTCGCTTCCAGTGGTGTGTGCCTTCCGACTGGCAATCACCACTAAATTTTTAGTGAAAATTTTGCCTCCTTCCACCAGAAGAAATGAAAAAATATTTAAAGATTTTAAAAATGAAAAAAGTAATATCAAGATTTGTTTTTACAGTTTTAAAGTTAAGTTTTTAACCACACCATTAAATTCTTAATTTCAAATAATATTGTAAAACTTAATGAAAAATGCAATACCCTTTAATATTCATTAAAAATTTGAGGAAAATTTATTGGGTTGAATTTTTTTGAATTGAATTTTTCCAATAATCAAAGCATTTACAAAAATTAATTTTTTTTTCATAATTTCTTTATTTTTTGCAACAAAATTGAAAATGGAAAAAAAAACTTTTGTCAAATAATATGTTATATTGATATGCTGTGGATTTGTATTTTATTTTAAAGATTTTTTGCTAATATTAAACTTTTGCTTGTCAGTAAAAAATCTTAATTAGTTTTAATTGACCAATAAAAACCTTGAATTAAAATTTTACTGTCATAAATATTGTAAAAATTTATTTTGTAACCACCTCAATAATACTGCCAGAATACAATGTGGTCACACAATCTAAAAATCTTAATTTTTTTAAAATATATAATTTAATCAATATTTTTTTTTTTTTGTGCTGCTATTAAAATATATATATAATATAATAATATTAAATATGTTTCCATTAGTAAAATATACAGGGCAGGTAAAAGACAAACAACTGTCTCATTGTTTATCCCACACCCACCTTATTTTTCTACATTTAAATGATTGTTTTATTGTTAAGCCCTTGTTTTTCTAAAACATTAAAATACACTAATTTTTTTTATAAAAAATTGATGTACAAAAGATTTTTTTTAATAATAAAATTTTGGGAATAAATTATATAAAATAATACAACAATAAAATACAACATTCAATTTTTAAAGCACTTAATCTTTAAAGTATTTTTTAACTTAAAATTTACTTTAAAGATTTTATGAATTAAAAAGAATTAAAAACAAATGTCTCCTGTAAGAAGAATTAAAAACAAATGTCTCCTGTAAAAAGAATTAAAAACAAATGTATCCTGTAAGAAGAATTAAAAACAAATGTCCCCTGTAAGAAGAATTAAAAACAATTGTCTCCTGTAAAAAGAATTAAAAACAAATGTCTCCTGTAAGAAAAATTAAAAACAAATGTCTCCTGTAAAAAAGAATTAAAAACAAATGTCTCCTGTAAGAAGAATTAAAAACAAATGTCTCCTGTAAGAAGAATTAAAAACAAATGTCTACTGTAAAAAGAACTAAAAACAAATGTCTCCTGTAAAAAGAATTAAAAACAAATGTCTCCTGAGAGAAGAATTAAAAACAAATGTCTCCTGTAAAAAGAATTAAAAACAAATGTCTCCTGTAAGAAGAATTAAAAACAAATGTCTTCTGTAAAAAAGAATTAAAAACAAATGCCTCCTGTAAGAAGAATTAAAAACAAATGTCTCCCGTAAGAAAAATTAAAAACAAATGTCTCCTGTAAAAAAGAATTAAAAACAAATGTCTCCTGTAAGAAGAATTAAAAACAAATGTCTCCTGTAAGAAGAATTAAAAACAAATGTCTACTGTAAGAAGAACTAAAAACAAATGTCTCCTGTAAAAAGAATTAAAAACAAATGTCTCCTGTAAGAAGAATTAAAAACAAATGTCTCCTGTAAAAAGAATTAAAAACAAATGTCTCCTGTAAGAAGAATTAAAAACAAATGTCTTCTGTAAAAAAGAATTAAAAACAAATGCCTCCTGTAAGAAGAATTAAAAACAAATGTCTGATAGAAGGAAGAAGTCACTAGAGAAAACCTTAAAATCATCTTGTCTTTAAATTGCTTTCTGGGGGTAACCACAAGTAGCATCCACCTGCAATTTGCAAAGCAGGAGCTTTGAAAATTGCATACACACATATATTTTATACATTGAACTTAAAGTATTTCCAGAAAATTCCACTGCTATTATCATATTAAAATAAAGATAAAAACTAACTCAGAGTTATATCTTGGGCAGAGAATATCTACTACCAATTTATAATAGTAGAAAAATATGTACTTGTATAAAAAAATTCATCTATAAAATTGTAATAAGACAAGGAATAATTATCTGTATATCACCTTAACATCTATATATCACCTTAAAAACATATGTTATTATGAACACTTTAAATACATCATTGAAACATTTTTTTATGTGTAGTAAAGAAGTTATTAAAATTTTATTTTTAATTTTTATATTATTTAAACAAATTTATTTTTAAAAAAGATATTTTAAAATGAAAAAAAAATTGAATATCAATCATATATTAAAATTTCAGAGTTTCAACACACCATAACGAAATTAATACCCAGAGTTTCAACACACCATAACAAAATTAATACCCAGAGTTTCAACACACCATAACAAAATAGTACAAACCATAACCAATAAATTGATTTTATAGTAACCAAAAATTTTAATACAGTAAAATTGTAAAATGAAGGCTTGCTCTATTTAGTAGTTTCAAAGTGTAACCAAGCAACCAAGTATGAATGAGCAGATGCATGGCATTATTGAAGAAAACTTGATTATAAAACTATTTACAAATTATTCTTAAAAAAAAGAAAACTAGCATTCAACTACCCAACAAATTAACTGATCAAAATTGAAAGAATAGATAAGAAGATTTTAACACAGTACAAGCAGCCCAAACAATTACATGAAATCTAACACTAGTTGGGTTGGTGAATTTGAACTTTAGTAAAGCACAACAGGCTTAAGCCAAAAAAAAATGTTCTACACTACTTCCAAAATAACTGGTGTTGTTCATTTAGGTTATGTTGAAAATAGAACACCTTTACTAGTCAATACTATGTAGAGAAATTGTTCGAAACCCAAAATAAATAAAAATCATGAAAGTTTAAATTTCTTCATAATAACACACACAACAACAAATTGTCTAAATTAAACTTGAATTAAATTACTTCAAAGTACTCCAATGAAAGACTATAAACAAATGTTTGACAAACGGCTAGAAAGAATGCAATTTTGATATTTGTGAACAAAAAATTGAAAATTGAAAATTAACAAATAAATTTAAATTTCTTCTATTACTAATTTTTTTTATTTGTTTAGGAAATTCTACAAATTTTTTCCTTGTTTAGGAAATTCTACAAAATTTTTTTCAAGTTATGTACAAATGATGGAGCCACTGTTAGCCAAAGAGATGACCAGGTTTTAAACTCTTCTTTCATTAAAAGACATTTGCTCTTGATGTTGAGAATAATTTTCAATAGGTTTAAATTTAGAATGAAGTCTTCACACTGTTCAGCAAACTGTTTTGGGTAGATAGAATAGAGTCTTTAATACATATTTACATCTCAGTTTTTTCAACGTAGACCTATAGTTCAGTGTATGAAGATTTTAAAACAGTAAAAGATTCTTGTTTTAGCTAAATTCTTGCAGGTGAGTATAAGTTAGCATTTGCTTAATTAAAAAACTTCTACTTGTCTTGGGTAGAGACCAAGATATCTAACTTCCGCCTATCATCAACTATCTACCAAGATATCTATCATCCAGGTTTTTTATAGAGTTTACAGCTGATCAGAGTAAAGACTAATTTAAAAGTGTAAAATTAAAAAGTTAAAATTTAATAGACTTCATTTTAAACTTGAACCTACTTGGAGTAGATTTAAATGTGTAGAGTATATTTAACATATATGTAGAAGTATATTCAACATATATGAACTATGTAGAAGAGTATACTCAACATAGAAAACAACTCTGTACTTAGTTTTAATGAAAGAAGAATTTAGTTAAGCATTAACTTTTACATGCTGGTATATAGCAGAATAAAACATTTTTCGATTTTTGTTGGATTATTTACCTTAAATACATGAATATTGTAAATTTATATATTTTTTTTAATCATTTGAAATTAAGTTTTTCAACTAAAATCCTTAAATTTTTCTATTTTTGAAAACATATCTGCATTTACTCATTTAAAAAATTTAAGTCTACAGAATATAATAGTACTGTATAGATCTGAAAATACCTGTTCATCAATGTTTTCATTTAGAGCATTGATCATGTTGATAGCTGATTCAAAAGTTGTTTTTGTTGTGGACAGCATCTCTGCCTTTTTTAAAGGCATCATTGACATAAAAGTTGAAGTAGCAAATGAAACTGCAAGTTCTGACAACGTGCTTAAATGGGAAGCAAATGTGGAAAGCTGAAAAAAATTGACGTTTAACAGGTATAACAGTTTTTCATTAAACTTTTCTAACTCTGTTTTCTTTTTTTTTTCTTTCTTTTTATTCAACAATAAGATATATTACTTCAAAATTAGATTTTAAAAAATAACAACAAAAATATATATTTCATCATTTTACTAAATATATATATATTTATAAAATCTACCAAAGAATATTTTATATTATTAAATTAATGTTACTTATTTAAGTTTTATGTCAAAAAAAAGATTTAACCAATTGATTTTTTTTTTCAACCATTTAAAAAACACCACAATTTTAAAATTTCTAACAACTTACTGGATTGTCAACAAATTCTATGATACTTTCTTCTTTTTCAATAAGAGCAGGTATTAAACTCTCAACATTTTCACAAAGATTAACCATACGGCTTTGTAGAATCTAAAATAGAGATTTGTAAGCTTAAAAGCTTTCAAAGCTTACTTTGTCAACAAATTAAAAACATTATTTCTTAAAAATTTTTATCAAAACAATTAAAAAAAAAACCTTTGGAGAATCCTTCATGTTTCCTTTTGATGCAACATCAGTACCATTTAAAGGGACTTGCTCAAGGTCTTGAAGTGAACTTTTAAGCGTGTCTAAGATCTTTTCATATGCTAACTTGTCTTGAGATGCCTGCGCAAATCAATAACTTATTTTTTAAACAATGACAAAGAGTCAGTAAAAAATATAAATTGTAAAACTAACAGTTTTACAATTTATATTTTTCATCCTAAGTTTTTGCGCTGCACGTGTAATCTGAAACATGACATAAATTTTTCTATCAGTCTATTAGTTCTAATTTTTTTCTTGATTTGAAGACAAGTTGACTAAGCAAAGTCTTTCATGATGTTCTTATTGACTTTTGTAAGGCAAGTATTTATATTATTACACAATTGCTAGTTTTGAATAAACCATTCATTACAGAATATTCTGAAAATTCTCAAGTATGAACTACATAGCTTAATTCACTGTTTTGACATAATGCTAAGGCCAAACCAGAATAAGGCCATCATTATGATGCTTTTTAATAAAATGCACTAGTCATTTTTTGATGCATTTTTCTTTTTATAGACTTTTATAGACTTTATAGACTTAATAAAGAAATGAATCAAGAAATTAAGTGCAATCAAACAAACATATTTTGGATAAACTTTGCAGTTTGTTTATATTTTACACCAGCATGTGTTTGCTTAATAATTATAGAGTAAAAAAAAATTGTTTTAATGTGAACCAAAGTGAAGATTGAACATTAGTAATGCATAATTTATACTAGGGTGGTATTTTAGGGTGTTATTTTAAACAACTTAAAAATATTTACTCTTACTTTCTAATTGTGTTCTATAGAATAAAATAACAATAAAATAACAATAACAAAAATCGTGTTTTATATAATATAAAAATCATAATTAGCTCAAGATATTTTATAAAAAAAAAAATCAAATTAAATAATAATTTCTTTTTTTTTTTAAATGTATTTTTATACATTTATAATCTTTTTTATGTATCTTTTTTATGTATATTTATATATTTATATCCTTTTAAAAAACCATTTAATTAATTATTCAAAGTTTTTATGCAATAAAATCTAAAATAATAACTTGTATGTAAAATACTACTATTTTTAAAATTTTTATATAATTTCACTTTTTTTGAGACCCAGATTGACATACTTTTCAAGAATTTTTTTGATAAATATATTAGTATAAATAAAATAATATTAAAAATCCACTACCCGAGGGTCTTGAGCAACCCCTAAAAGCAATTTTTTAATTTTTAGAATGTTACTTATTATATTGATCTGTTATTTTATAATATTCATATTTTATAATATTTATATAATATTATAATATTTTAAGTTTTATTATTTATTGATGACAAAAAAATACCTTGCTCCTAGATTTTGATAGTTCCTTTAATGATTTTTCAGCTTGCAAAATTGTATGAGATAGTTCTAATGTTTCAGGTGTAACTAATGCTCTTGAAGCAAGTATGAGTCTTGATGCAGCCTATAATATATATATATATATATATATATATATATATATATATATATATATATATATATATATATATATATATATATATATATATATATATATATATATATATATATATATATATATATATATATATATATATATATATATATATATATAGCATTTTGTTTACTTTTTTACTAATAAAATGAAATTACCGGAACAAAGTGTTTGCTTGATGACATGAGCTTTCTAGTTGCAATTTCATTTTTTGGATTTGGCTCACATTCTTTAACAGCATCCGCCAGATCTTTATTGTTTACTGTCATAAAAACCTATACAATTCAATAGTTTTGAATCAAAGCCAATTTTTTAACATAATGGTTTAAATTATAGTCAAAACCAGAAACTTTTTGCTAATCTGATATTTAGGTTGAGTTCAGTAAACTATCAGTTAATATAAGTCATACTTTAAATTTCCCTCAGTTATTATAAGCCACGCTTTAAATTTTCCTCACATTTTGCACTTATTTTAGATATTTAGGTCTTGTTAAAAAATAAATAAGAAATATTAAAAAAAAAGAAGAAGTTTTCTTGCTAAAATAATGTTAACCCTTAGGATCAACAATATTTTAACAAGATCTAAAAATATAATATCAAAATAACAAAATAATAATACATTGTTATTTTGTTTTATTTTTATATGCATGTATATATATATATATATATATATATATATATATATATATATATATATATATATATATATATATATATATATATATATATATATATATATATATATATATACATATATGTATGTATGTATGTATGTATGTATGTATGTATGTATGTATGTATGTATGTATGTATGTATGTATGTATGTATGTATGTATGTATTCATTTTTGTAATGAAATAAAACTCACTGAACTAATTTTGTTATACTCCTGAGCAACAGAGTCTGTGTTCTTAATAGCAACATTTTTAGCTGCAGCCAGCATTTGTGAAGTGGATTTCAAAGCAGCATCAGCAGAGTCACACAATTTTGTTATTGACACTGCTTTAATAGCATCATCTGTCACAATATTAGCAACATTTTGAGCATCAATAACCATTGACTTTAAAACAGCTTGTTTTTCATAATCATCAGGCTGATCTCTTAATACCTTAAAATTTTGGAAAATTTTGGAAAAGTTTTAAAATAAACAAAAGTACAGAAAATGGAAAATACAACAAATCAAAGACAATTCACACATTCAGGAATTACAAATTTTTTATTTGTTTTTGTTTAAAAAGAAAGTATTAAAATGAAATACAACAATTATGCTTGTATTTAACCTTAGCAGACTTCAATAAAGCAGCTGTAGCACTTGATAGTTTTGCAACTGCTTCTAGTTTTTTTTCTTTTTCATCTACTGAGTTACTATTGGCAGATAGTTCTATCGATTTTGCAAGCTGTGCACAAGTCTAAAAAAAAAAACTCTGCAAGTCAGATTTGAGAAAAATAAGTTAACAAAAATAAATTATTTGCATTGAAAACGATTTACCTGACCAATTATGATAGCTTGTTTAATCATTTCACCAGAATCACCAATACATTTAAAAAATGCATCATTAGCATCTAGTAGAACATCATACATGTTTTGCTCTGCAAAATTTTCATTCTTTTTTTCTATATGTTTAAGTAAAGCATCTGAAGATCCTTTGATATCAATTAAAGCTGATTGTATCTTATATTTTGAATCGTCATCACTGCTTGCAGCCTTAAAATTATTTTTAAATGATTTATTTTTTAACCTAATAATCAAAAACTATAGTTCATTGACCATGACCACTTCTTAGGAGAAAAATAATTAAAAACTATTGCAACTTATTATTACTACTTACTAATGTCACTTCTTAAAAAGGAAAAAAAAATACACAAACATCGAGATGAATCATAAAAGATGGAGATGACAATTAGGTTGTTGAAGATTTTGTTTTGAGGGGTCTGCAATTTTTTACACCTGAATTTTTACAAATTAATGACTAAACATATTACCTAGCATTTAAACCTTTTCTTGAAATTGTAAATAATTGTAAAAATACAATTAATCATTATAAAAATATATATAATAAGTCAATTTGAAAAAAAAAAAAATTTTTTCAAACCATTTTACAAACACTTTATTGAATTTCTAGTTCAAAATAAGAGTGTGATTAAAAAAAAAATTCAGATAATAATAACTTACTAAACAGAGTTCGCCCAAAGTATTGGCATCTGCATTAAGTTTTTCAATTAAGTCAGAAATCTCTGCTTGAGCATTAGAGGAGGTAATATATGGTAATAAAAGATTGATGCTTGATGTGAACTGTATCATTCTTTGTTTTGATTGAGCAGCAATTTTATTGATTTTTAACAAACTTTCCCCATCTAATGCCTGAGAAACATCACCTGAAGCTGCTAGTATCAAATCAGATGCATTTTTAATTTCATTAACCTTTTCAAGTAGAACTTCATTAAAAGCTGGATTTTTTGGAACTTTATGATTGATTTTTATGAAAGCTCGACTTATTTTGTTTACATTAATAGTAACTTCGCTTCGATTCTGTAAATAAAATGTAATTTTATGAAAGCTCATCTTATTTTGTTTCTATTTATAGTAACTTCAATTAAATTCTAATAACAAAATGTAATTTTCAGAAAACATTAAAATGCACTAATAATTGTGTTATCACACAATACTGTTATCAAGGGGTTGTCCAATTGGACAACTCCTTGATAACAGTAGAAAAAATAAGTAAATAGTGATATTAAATAATTATTATTAATGCATTTTATTGTTTATACACATACACAGTAAGTAAATTGGGTAATGATTTGAAATAGGCATGTTTATAAATTAAAGTAATATGAAAAAGCATGCTTTAACAAGTTTAACAAACTTGTATCAAAATGTAATCTCAAACTTTTTTAATATTTAATATCTAAAATTTTTTAGTTATTTTTACTTTTTTAAATCAAAAAAAAAATAATTTCTTAACCAAAATACAATTAAAACTTAAATACAACTCAAATACTTTTAAAATTTTATGTAACTTTGATTAACCAGACCAGAACAATTTATTTTGTAAAAAAATAAACCCAAAACATATGTTTTGGAACAAAAAGCAGAATAGGAAACGAGAAAAAAATGACCTTACAAAGCAGAATAGGAAACAAGAAAAAAAATGACCTTACAAAGCAGAATAGTAAATGAGAAAAAAGAAAATGACCTTACAAAGCAGAATAGGAAACGAGAAAAATAGGAAACAAGAAAAAAACTAAATAAGAAAATAGTTGTATATAGTCTTGAAAACAGAATATTTTGTTGTAAATAATCAACCACTGTAAAATCTTATTATAAAAATATTAAAAATTAGAAAAATTCTCATTGTCATTAGATAACTCAAAGAATTTAGAGGCATGAAAAGTAAAGCATCAAATTTAAATGTCTTCCATCTAAACCTATGCACCATCTAAACCTAATTAAATTTTTTTTTTCCCAAAACATTCTGCAATTTATATGTGCTAGTATATTTTTGCAGTACTGAAATCATCTGTGTGTTTGTGTATTGTCATATATCATATAGATCTAAAATGTTTGCTGTATTGTCATTTCAATCTTGTTGTTGCATTTGAGGTTGTGTAGATCTAAATTTCATAGAGATGTGAGGAAAAAAAACAGAAGAAAAGTAGCATCCATTTAAGAAAATGGCTTTAACTCTTCTCATTTTTCAACAAGAAAATACAATTATTAATTTTTGAAAAGGGAAATTATGAATTGAATCAATCAAGCAATTTCACTTGGTCTAATGTGAAATTTACACATTTTGGTGCAATAGCAAGCCAAAAAAGAACTTTCTTTTTTGGCTTGCTATATTGCTTTTTCATAATGCTTGACATCATCAGGTGTCTGAATGAATGAGTCGATTGAGTAAATAATTATAATTAGTTAGGAGCAAATGTAAAATTAATTAATTTAATCAAATGTAAAATTAAAATGATTTTCAATTTTGATAAGTTTTTAAAAAAAACTGATTTCTAATAGAAAAAAAAGTTTTTTCTATATGTTGTCTATATGCAAAAAAACTCAAAAAATATGAAGCACTACTCATTAAAAAAAATTGTTTACCTGTTGTATTAATTAGTTAACATTTTATTTTATTTTTGTGTTAACTTTTTGACATAAGTTAAAGTAAGGGGAAAAATTAAAACTAAAATTTGGTTGCGTATATACAAAATGGATAGCCCTTTTTATTTCTGATATATTATCAGAAATTCTTGTGTTATGATGAAAACTGATTAATTCTGCTAAACATATAACTTTCAAATCGGCTAAAAACACATATAACTTTCAATATAACAAATCTGCTAAACACATATAACTTTCAATATAACAAATCTGCTAAACACATATAACTTTCAATATAACAAATCGGCTAAAAACACATATAACTTTCAATATAACAATTCTGCTAAACACATAAAACTTTAAAAAAAGAAATTTTTAAATTTTTAAAGTTATATATACAAGCAATTAATAAAAAAAAAATTTATTACATTTTCCTTCGGATTTAATGAAATAAAAAGCCCTTTAAATGCATGAGCCAAATCTTTTGCTGCATCTAAAAATGTACCATTATCAGGTTCATTATCTAAAACTTTGGTCTGTAACTTTAACTTCCGTGTCAAGTCAGTTAAGTTGGATGTTCTAAAAAGTTAAAGTACAACATCAATAAATTTTATTAAATATATACTATATTAAAGTTACAATTAAAAATGGTAACTTTCACTTTTAAAGAATAATAAACTTATTAACATTACATGGAAGGGCTATTAAAAGTATAACAACAACAAATTTAAAGTAATAAAAAACTTTGATCATCAAAAATTAAAATTTATCTACCAACAAAATGTTCTGTTTATGTTTAAAGTAAAGAAAATGATAAATAAATACTTTGCAGAAACCAAATTATAATTTATTTTACATATTATTTGAAAATTAAAATAGATAATTAGATATTCAAATTATGTACAGAAACTAAACTTTTAAAAATGTGTAATAAAACAAAATAAAACAAAAATAAAATTATTTAAATTAAGGCTGTATTACTTTCAGAAAACAAATGTATTTATAAATAAACAAATGTATTGATAAATGAATAAATGAATAAACTTTATAAATGAGTGTTATTTAAATAGATAAGTAAGATTAATTTAATAAACAAAAATTAATGTATTTACAATGAAGTAACACTGTTTCCAACAGCAACCAGTTCTTCATCAGAAGGATTGTTAGATGTTTTGCTCACAATTGAAACAACACCTGTTGCAATGTCTGACATCAAATCCTCTATTTGGTACTCGCCATCAACTTTCTTTTAAAACAATTTTATATAAAAATTTTAAACATGAGTAAATTATAATAAAAATTTAAAATTGCTTAAAAAAAAAACCTCAGTTTCTAGTTCTTCATATAAGGGTTCATTTATGTCATAAGAACTTTCTTCATTTAACTCATCAACAAGTATCATAACGGCTTTGCCACTATTATCCAAGTTACTAATTAAAGCTTGTTGCCCTGAAGATAAAAGTCCTTGAACACTGGATCTCCTTGGATATTGGGGAATAGACTCTTGTACATTTAAAAAGTTATTCCGTGAAATATCAATTCTGCGGCATGGCAGATTAGTTCCTTCAGCTATGACTCCATGATCATCACCATCTCCCATCAACATTTGGATGCGCTTTCTCTACAATCATTAAAAGTAGTGGTAGTAATAGTTTAATAATTTTTAGTAAAAAAAAAATTATGAAGCCAAATATATATATATATATATATATATATATATAAATAATAATGAAAAAATATATAAATATATATAAGTTTTTATGAAGCCAAAAGTCTGCTAATTCAAATAACAGTATTATGGCCAAAACTAAAAATAGCAACAGAATTAAAAATGTTTAAAATTATTTAAGTAACATTTTAGTGTAACTAAAAGTTGATGTAAACTAAAAAGTTAATTAAGCAAACTTTTAATTTAATAATATATTTGACTAACATAATGAATAGCAAACTAAAAAGTTAATTAAGTATATTTTTATTTTAAGTAAAATCAAGCAACTTTTTAGTTCAACTAAAATTAGTTAATAATTATATACTTTTCAGTTTAATATAAAAGTATTCTACTATTATGTTTGTTTTATCAACAGAAACTCTCTCTTGTGGTCTAAAAATTTTTATTCTCTTAAGTAGTAACTTGGTTGGTAGCAGTGCAGCCATCGAGTGCTCACTTTAAAAAAAAGATCTTTCTGTTTTTCAAAGATTGATTGACACATGTGTCACACAGTGTTTGAAAACCAAAAGTTTAAAAATGAAAGTCATTATTTCAAATTATATTGGAATAATGTAAAGAGTACCCTAAAGCATGTTACACCACCATTAAAGTCTCTATAATTTAAGTTTCTAAAAAAATAGTTTACAACACATTCATGGTTATAAAATAAAATAAAACATAATATTTTTATTAATATATAAATAAAATGTTATTTTTCTTTGAAGTTCTGTTTTTACCAACTTCTATGCAAACATTTGATTACCAAGTTCTATGGAAACATGTGTTTATCAACTTTCAAGGAAAGCATTGTGTTTACCTACTTCCATGGAAAAGCAAAATCCAACATTTCAAATCATTTATTTGGTAATACTTTCATATATAATAATTTGATACTTACCAAATAGACTAAACTTATTAGAATACATAAAAATATAAATTAAATCCCATAGTGACATTAAATGGTAAAATTTGTGCCCTGACTATTAGATGTGTCATTACTATAAATATAATAAAAGATATATTAAAACCCAAAAAATATATACTCTTTTAAAGTCTTTTATTATTTTTTTTTTTTTAATTTTATTATTTGCCTTTTGAAATTTTAAATTTTATTATAAAATTCTGTAAAACCATTTTTTATAAACAGTATTTTGTTACAAGTTAAACTAACATGTTGACATTAATCATAAAGTTAGTCAACTGTCTTTATTGAAAGTTAGCTGATTAGCAAACTAAAAAGTTAGTTGAAAAAAAAATACATAAATTAAATAATTTTAGTTGCAGAATGATATGGTTAAATATTAAACTACAAAGTTTAAATAGTTTTAGTCAAAGTAATTTCAACTTTTATCATTTAATCTCTTATGAGTTTGTGCTAAAAAATATTTAAACATTAAGTTTATATATAAATTTTTTAACTTGTTATTTAAAAACATGGTACTAAAAATAAATACCCTTTTTAGAATAATATCAATATAACCACCAATCAGCTGACATATTTGTTTTCCTTCAGATGTCACAACTGTGTACATACCTTCTTTGTAATCACCAAAGTCCTAAAACAAAATGTTAACAATAACTATTTATAGAAAAACAAAAATAACCTAAAACAAAATGTTAACAATAAGTATTATAGAAAAACAAAAATAACCTAAAACAAAATGTTAAGAAGTATTATAGAAAAATAAAAATAACCTAAAACAAAATGTTAACAAGCATTATAGAAAAACAAAAAAAACCTAATACAAAATGATAAAAATAAGTATTATAAAAAAACAAAAATAACCTAAAACAAAACGTTAACAATAAGTATTATAAAAAAATTTATTTAAATTTAATAATGAAAACAAAAACAAAGAAAAGTTATTACTAATGTAAAGCTGGTAGGGGAAGATGCCCATTTTTTCACAGAAGTTAATGGCCACACCTTTAACACCTAAAAAAAAAAAGATGAATTTTGAAAACCAATTTCTAATATAAAACAATTTATTCATGTTTCAATATATTCTGACAAATTATATGTGATATTAATGATGTTTGTGATATTTATGATGTTCGATGATATTTACAAAACAGATATAAGCTGATTATTGTTTTATATTTATTGATCTACCTAATTATTGTTTTAATTATTGTTTTAATTATTGTTTTAACTATTGTTTTAATTATTGTTTTAATTATTTCACTTATAATAATTCTGATGTCAAAAATAAACAACTAGAAAGAAATTTACCTGTTTAGTTTTTTCATCAAGTCGAAAGCAACTCTCTTTGCTTACACCAAAGAGACGTGGAATTAACTTGTTTTTACCATCAATTTTCTCCTGCCAAAGAAAAAACATGTGGTGTATTTAACCAAATAACTTACAACATAACACAATTTTAGTTGCATAATTTGTTTAAGAAAATAATCTAGTTTAGTTTGTTCAAAAATATTTCTCTTATGCTATATAGTATAGTGCATAGTATGGTATATTTTTACTGTAAGGAGGAAATTCCTGGAAAAGAGTATGAATACAAGCCCTGCTATTTGCAGTGAAAGCAGGTAATTGTGTTGTACAATTTATGCAATACCTAATTCTTTTATCTAAAAACCTTTTGTAATAGATTCTAAAAAGGTTTGATGAAGTTTGTAGAACAAAATTTTTGGGAAGAAAGTTTTAAGTATGTAATTCACAATTATCAGTTATTTTTCTGTGTAAGCATGACCATACTTCTACTATCAATTGTTTAATATGTTAGTTAACTCAACTTTATCTAATTTTAAAGAATGCAATTAAAACGAGTATTTCTATGTCTAAATTAAGAAGCTGTAAAGGAACTTCATAACAAAATTGTTTTAGTGAGATACTTGTGTACTCATTGTTGAATACATTTAATTGAATACATGTTGAATACATTTATAGCCGATTTTAAAAAGTTACAAATTATTGCGGTCTGATATCACCATGATCGGTTGAAATTTAGATGATTTTAAATTAAGTTTTCTCAAAAACCACTTAATTAATTGTAATGATTTTTTTATAATGATGAAATAATTAATTTTTATGTAGTTTTTCTGGGTTTAGTTTTGTTTACTTCTCACTAGTGTTTGCAATGTCAAGTAAAGAGTGTAAAAATCAAAATTATTTTTTGAAATTATACATAGAAAATCCATCGTCTTCCTATTCCATGAGTTCTAGAAAATGTAAAGTTCCAAAATTAACTGTTGGAATTGTTATAAAACGTTATAACAAAAAAAAAAATGTAAAAAGAAAATCCTAAAGTGAGGAAAAATCAAGATTTATTTCCAAAAAGAAGACAAAATCAATAGTTGACTTTATTTATCAAAATCCGACTCATTCTCAATAAGATTTAGCTACAAAGTTTAAATGCAGTAGATCTTTCGTTCAAAGAGTGTTATTAAAAAAAAATTGTAAAGCATATTACGAAAAAATAAATATAAGAAAAAAATACCAAAAAGGTCTTTAATTTTTTTTATGACACAAGCAAAGTCAATAAAGACTATATCCTGTTGTTTATATGTCAAAGATAAAGATATACATGATATACATGTCAAAGATAAAGATATACATGGACTTAAAAAGACTGATGATGCAAGTTTTATACAAATTCTAACAAATCTGTGTTGTTGTCTTGTAATAAGACATCTTTGCTCATGGCAAGTAGTAGGATAGTAGGTGTGAAAGGACATGATATAAGCAATTTTCTAGGTATTGGGGATAGAATCTTCTTGAAGTGAACTATGAAATATATTTGCCAGAGGGACTACTATTGTACTAGAACATTCTTTAAGAACCCAATAAAAAACAATCTACATATGGAGCTTTATAATGGTCAAGTTTTCTAAGACTTGCAATTACTTTTTCTAAATGAACCTGAGATTCAGAAACTAAACTGGTAGTTTGCTTCCTAAATTCCAGCATTGGAGAAATGAGATCATTAACAAAAACAGATTTAATATGTAAGTTTAAAATGTTACTCAGGATCTGAAGTATTAAAACCACCATTTAATGCATAGTGCTGATTTGCTTTTTTTTTATTTTTTTGCTTTTATGTAACTAAATAGCTATTTCTTGGAATTGTTGTAAACTATTTTCATAGTTTCTTGTGCATTGTAAAGTATTCTTTTTAATTTGATTGTGAACCTGCTTAAATTTATCGAGAGCAGCTATAGTTTGGGATCTAGTTTGTAGGACTAAAATCCATAAGATATATATTAACTTCAAATGATTTAAGTTTGTCATTTTCATAGATTGCAACACCACCTCCACAAGCTTCCTTGTTACCCCAATTTATAACTATCAACGGTGATGAACTACTGACACTAGCCCAAGTTTCAGTTAAAAAAATAACATTACATTTAAAAGGGTTTTAAGTGAAAATAATTTATTGTTCAGTGAGCATTTGTGTAGTAACAGTATAAATGATTTAAATTGATAGTTTGTTACATAAATGTTTTTGACGTTTGAACAGTCTTGAGCTGAGATACATGGTTTCATATTATGATTGATATTATTGTCTATTAGTTTGGAGGATGCATCATAGTCTTTTCTTCCATTCAACAAATAGGTGTTTTGAATGTCCGTTGATTTCAAAGATCTTTGATACAATGACGCAGCAGTCTCTTTCACTGCAGATGAAAAATCTAAATGGGTTACCATCTTCTTTAAGATCACTGTTTGTGGCTCTACTTTCACTACTAAGCTTGTTCTGCAATTGTTTAATAAGGTATAATAAAACATATAAACATAACGTATAAACATAAGGTATAGATAAAAATAAGGTTTAGATAAAAATATTCTTGTGTTCAGTTTTAGATATGACAAATACTGCTGCTAATATTTTCTTGATTTTGTTAAAAAAAAATTTAAAACAAAAAAAAAAAAAAAATGGAAAAATTAGAAGACTCCTATTACATAGTCATTCCATTTTGATTAGAACACACCTAAATTCTTGAATGTGATTCTGTAGCCACTGCTGGTGATAACTAATTTGAACAAAACTTAGTTTCAAATACTACTGTAATCGCTGCTCTACTATCTACAGTTTTGCAGTCTGGACTTTTTGGGTACAAATAATGATAGTTGTTTTGGTAAAGTTTTTTTAGTTTTTGATTGTACGTATAGTTTTTTTTTTAAAAGTTCATTAAATATATACAAAATTTTATCAATAACAGCATCTGTATTAGAAAGTATTAAAAAGTATTAATCTGTATTAGAAAGTTTTAATCTGTATTAAAAACAACATTTGTATTATATGCTCTTGTTATTAAAATTTAATCAGTTTTTCAGTTTAATTCAGTGTTTCAGCATTTTTTCTGCTCAAAATTGTAGAAGTCAGGAAAACATGAAGATGGGAGAACAATTCTTAAGTGCGAAGAAAAAAAATCTAAATCAAAAATATTTTGACCATAAAGGAACAAGTTACATTAAAAGATTAAGTTTTGGTTGATGGAACAAGAAATAAATTTGAGCAACAATGATGGTAGTATTTATGAAGAAGAGAAAGAACTTTTGTTGTAACTTTACAACAATGAGAAAAAAGCCCAATCATGCATTTATTTAAATGAAAAAAGTTGTCATTACTAGAACCAGCCCAAATATAATAAAAGTATTCTATACAAGAGATGGAGAATGGATATGAAGCATAATAAATAGAGGCGATCTGAGCAGACATAAATTTAATTGGGTTCAAATTAAATATATTAAAAATATAGAACAGTATATAAAAAGTTCAAACATAATAAAAAAAATTATCAAGAAAAAAATTTCAAAATTAAATCAACAAAAATAGACAAATATCTAAACTATCATTTACAATATTCCACTTTTCTGCAAGTTACACAATTTTCTGCAAGTTACACACTTTTCTGGAAGTTACACACTTTTCTGCAAGTTACACATCATTTCTGCAAGTTACACATTTTTTTGCAAGTTACACATCTTTTCTGCAAGTTACACTTCTTTTCCACAAGATCGAGGAAAAAAAAAAAAAGCGAAAAACTCGATAACTCTTTTTTTTTAACTATTTAAAAATACCTTTGAGTAAAATATTTATTGAAAAAAATCATTTTATCATACCATAGCATGGTTTTAAAGTTGTAAGGGTTGTAAAAATGTGTTTTGAGGTTTATTTACAGCCCTGTTGTGTTAAAAAACGATTGTAAAACAATAATTAAAAAACTTTGATAATTTTTTTAAAGTGCATATTTTTAACATGATTTTTTTAAACATGTTTTTAATTAATCATTTACACTTTTTTTTTTTACATCATTTATTGTCTCATTTTATTTGTTGTGTTTTAATATTACATTTTTTGTTACAACTGTCACGCTCACAACTATCACAACAACAAAAACTTCAAGTAAAAACTCAGCATATTATAATATCAATATGTATTGTCTGACAAAGTTGTTTTGTTCAGAAGTGGTAAAAAGTAAACGTTACAACCGTCACACTAATTTTTGAAAAAAGTTCAACATTTTAATGCTGAACTTTTGTATACTAAAATATATGATAGTACTTCACATTTCTAGAAAGTTTCAAGTCATTTCCATTTTCGTTTCATTTTTAATAGTTTAAAGAGTGTAAAATGTTACAAGTGTCACTCACAGAATTGCCCATATATATACATATGCACATATATACACACACACATATATATGTATATATGTATATACATATATATATATATATATATATATATATATATATATATATATATATATATACATATATATATATATATATATATATATATATATATATATATATATATATATATATATATATATATATATATATATATATATATATATATATATATATGTATGTATATATATATATGTATATATATATATATATATATATATATATATATGTATATATATATATATATATATATATATATATATATATATATATATATATATATGTGTATACACACATATACATATACACACATACACTGTATACTATACATGTATATATGTATATATATATATATATATATATACACATAAGATAAAAATATTGATGATTTTATAATGAATTGGCCTATCCTTAAAACAGCACCTGTATATAACAATATTTCCAAAAAATGTATACTATGCCTACAAGAAAAAATTGAAATTATTACACATGCAAACCAAGAATGTTTATTAAACAAAAAATTGGAATTAATTTCTAAATGCAGGCACGAAAATAAGTTTCTCCTAAAAAAACTATAAAAATCAGTGAGGTAAAATAATAATTACATTAAATCCCCCCTTTTAAGAAATATTAAAAAAAAAAAAAGCAGAAGTAATCAATTTAAAAAAATTCTTTTTATAATAGTGCCAGCATATTCCGCAAATGTGTGAAAATTTACAGTAGTTATGGCATTTGTGATTTCCTGTAATTTAATTTTTTGGTATAAATTGAAGTTTTATTAATTTGATCATTCATTTCTGATGAGTCTTTATTGATGAAATACAGTAATAATTAAAAACATTTTTACTAAGTGATTTTCTACTACCTTATATATATATATATATATATATATATATATATATATATATATATATATATATCCTTATAGTGTAGTCGAAAGAGTCGTTTAATGTAAAAAAAGTCTCTTTCGACTACAATTTTAATTACCTCGTCTCTTAAGCTGTTTTTGATTGTCATTGAAATGTCAAAGCAATTAATTTATGCGGAAGTACATTAAATTTAATTGTTTTTTAAAAAATTTTTAAAAAACCGCAATTATAACGACTAGAAAGTTTTTTTTAATTAGTTGTGTTTTTGTTATTGATTTAATAAAAAACATTTTTAGAACATGCGTAAATGTTGCTACATCGACTATCTTATAGCCTGACTCGCAACGGAGTGCTGCTACATCGACTGACAAATAGCCTGACTCGCAACGGAGTGCTGCTACATCGACTGACAAATAGCCATGCAAGAGACATGCAAGAGTATATATATATATATATATATATATATATATATATATATATATATATATATATATATATATATATATATATATATATATATATGCATAATATATATGTATATATATATTATGTATTATATATATATATATATATATATATATATATATATATATATATATATATATATATATATATATACATATATATATATATATATATATATATATATATATATATATATATATATATATATATATATATATATATATATATATATATGTATACATATATATATGCATAAATATATATTTAAATAATAGAATAAATACAAACCTTCACAACAAAAAAAGTAACGCCATAGGTGGGAAGATTCTGACATAGCTGTATATATTTATACTTGGAATCGAGTTCATTTATGCCCACCAATTTACTATGTTCCTATTAATTTTAAACATTTATGTTTGTACAAATATTATTTAATAAATAAAATCTTATCAAACTATATTATTTAGTAAAAAAAACAACATGAAAAAACCTGAATCAAATTTGGGAATTTATAGAACTCTATTATTCATAATTTTTAATAGAGTTAATTTTTTAATAAAGGGAGTCAACAAGTGCACCCTTATCACTCTTAAAATAAAAAACTCAAACCTTTTTAATTTTTTTTTGGATTTCTTTATTTTTAAAATATTCCTTCGGAACACATTCTTTGAAGCTAAAATCAATTTTTACACTTTATACAATTTGTTTTTAAATCACTATCTTTTTTTATAATAATTTTTAAAGAAAAATAAGCATTTTAAATTTTTTTTGAAAATAACATTTTTTAAAGAAAAATAAATATAAATATACAAATTTACTAAAAAGTTAAATATTGTTAGTTATATTTTATGTTGATTTTAATTGTAAATTATAAAATTACTAAAAGAAAAATTAAATAATTTATTAGAAAATGCCATTTTTAAAATAGAAATGATTAATACCTGAAAACCTAATAAGAAACATAATAACAAAAACCAAAATAATTGGGAAGGGAGAGGGAGGGGGTCCAAAATTCTATATTTCTTTGTTTAACCAGTTATTCTTAATCAATTTTTTTAAAAAAGGTTCAAAAAACAATTCAGTTTTTGCTATTTTTTTCTGGTTGATGTTCTACTTTTATTTTTAAAATTATGAACTTCTTTAGAAATCTTCCAGTAGTTCACAAATTTTATCATTTAAAGTTGCCTTTACTCAGGGTTGTACTTGTTTTTAATGAATTCAACAATAAATTTTCTTTTGGAAATCTTCATTAGATAAAATTGACTGCTTAGTAGTCGCAAAAACAGCTCGTATTTATGCACAAAAAAAATGGATGATTGTATCACTTTTACAAATATAGTTTTGCAAAATTAGCTTTGGAAAGCTAATTATTTAGCCATTATTTAGAAATTATTATGGATTTGTATTATGGATTAGGAAAAAGATAATAAATATTGAAATATATTGAAAAAGAGAAAGACCTCTTAAATGCCGAAAATGGCTGAAGAATGTGATGTTTGTTTAGAGACACAGTAGATCCACTCTGCAAAAATCTACACAAAAAGCACTGTATTATGATACAGAAGAATAAGTTATTAAATTAGTTTAAATAATATAAATTTCTACTTAGAAAATTCTCATAACAATCAACAATCATCCACATGACTTTTTTTTAGCTGTTAAGGTGCTCCAAGAAGAACTTATAAGAAGAAGAACTTAGAAAAAGAAGAACTTATAAGAAGAAGAACTTAGAAGAAGAAGAACTTAGAAAAAGAAGAACTTATAAGAAGAAGAACTTATAAGAAGAAGAACTTAGAAGAAGAAGAACTTAGAAAAAGAAGAACTTATAAGAAGAAGAACTTATAAGAAGAAGAACTTAGAAGAAGAAGAACTTAGAAAAAGAAGAACTTATAAGAAGAAGAACTTAGAAGAAGAAGAACTTAGAAAAAGAAGAACTTATAAGAAGAAGAATTTATAAGAAGAAGAACTTAGAAGAAGAAGAACTTAGAAGAAGAAGAACTTAGAAGAAGAAGAACTTAGAAGAAGAAGAACTTAGGGTTTTATCACCGTAGAAAAACAATTTAACTAGAAAGTTCACACTTCCAACGTTGCTTATCTGGCCAGAGCAAACATAGAACCTCAGACCTCTTATTTTTGAGAAAGAACTCCAATCACTGTACCGCGGCTGTTATGAAGTTATTTAGCATTTTCACTAATAATTGTTACATATTGTTCCTTATATAGAATAATTTCATGTATAATGCCAAATTTCCTGTTATATTTATAACCATATATAATTATTAAATATTTGATTGTTTCTGATGAATAAAAAATTATTTAACATGGATTCTAATTTAATTAGTATTGGCTTAACTTAAGTTAACAACCGATTGTTTTGTCAAAATAATCACTTTTATTAAAAACTTTTATTAAATTATTCACCCAAGGCCCGAGGGGGCCACTACAGTCGAGGAGGCTACTCATTTTTTTTTAATTTTTTTTTTTTTGGTTGTAAATCGTGGTACAACCCTCTCTCAACTCTTTAACTCCGAAACACGAACCTTGACAAGCAAGGCCGCTGCGCAGAGAAATTAAGTTGAGCGCAGTACTTCCAGGGACATAGTGGGAGTCGAACTCCGAACCTCTCGCATACAAAGCAAGCGCTCTTACCACTACACCACTACTGCATGATGATACCACAAATGAGAAAAACTGTTTTAAGTAAACCAAAATCTAAAAAAACTTTTGTTACTCTTACAAATAAAGAATACAAATATATAATGATGAAAATATATGATGATGAAAATATATAATGATGAAAATATATGATGATGAAAATATATGATGATGAAAATATATGATGATGAAAATATATGATGATGAAAATATATGATGATGAAAATATATGATGAAAATATAGATTAGTTAATCTAGAAGATGGGTCAAATTAACATTTTGAAAAACATAGATACCATAAATAAAATTATAAATGTCTGCTGTTATTATAAAAAAAAACTATAAAATGATTATATAAGATTGTATAAGATTAAATAAATTCTCCATTTTCAATAGGTCTGTACAATAGGTCTGCAAAAAAAGATGCAAAATGCATTACTATTTATGCAATAGTATAAGTATATATAAAATCATCTTTTACGTTGTCTTCACTTTTTAAGTTGACAAATGTACAATCACTTAAAATTAAAATTAATTAGCAAATTGCAGAAACTAAAACTGCAAAAATGCAATATTATAGACTTGAATCTTTTTTTAATGTACGTACACATTGAATGACTATTTAGGGGTACAGTGGAGTTTACATCAACTGAGGTTATTATTAAAAGTTCAATAACATTCAATGTTCAATAAAAATTAGAAAACTTCAATTCAGACCTGAAGAAGTATAATGATAACTAAAAGAAAATTTTAAATAAACTGGAATTTAAATGTTTTCTTTTTATATATCTTATTTAATATAAAAAGATATAATTTAAATTATATCTTTTTATATTAAATATATATATATATATATATATATATATATATATATATATATATATATATATATATATATATATATATATATATATATATATATATATATATATATATATATATATATATACAGTCACCGACAAAATTAAGTAACATTGTTGATAAAATTGATACTCTAACATTAAAAACAAAATTATTTACGTCAAGATCTACATAACTGCAATAACTTTATGTTATTTTAAAAACTTGATTCCTAAGAAAAAATTTATAACTTCTTGCAAAAGTAACTCTATTAAAAAAAATTAGCTATCTTACAAACTTTTTTTCCAAAAAAAAATGTGACAAAAGGAAGAAACTGAGTTTTTATTATGTTTTATCAATAACTATTTATTGAAAGTGATTATTATTAAAAAGATTTTCTTAAATTTATTAAAAATAAGCATTTTAAACTATATTTTTTCTGAATTTATTTTTAGAAAAAGTAAAACTAACAATAATAATGGTTCATCATCAACATTATTCCTTGGACATCTAATCTCGGGTCATTTGTGATCAAAAAAAAGGGCTTAACCTACAAGCAATGTGTAGAAAAATATCAAATATCAATAAATGGTGTTAAAAAGATGTGAATAAAATTTGAAACAACTGGTTCTGTTAAAAATCAGAAAAGTTGATCGCCCCCCTAAGCCTTCAACAAGAACTGCTCATTACATGAATAGCAAAACAAAATTCAACAATAACTTCAAAACAGATTGTTGAAAATCTTAAATTAAATGTTTCCAGTTGAACTGTACAGAGAAGACTTAATTCAAGTGGTTTAATAAACTGTCTTCAGAAACGTTAACCCCTCATTAGTGGTATATATATATATATATAAAAAAAAAAAACGCTTAGCGTTTGCAAAACTGCATATTAACAAGAGTGAGGCATTTTGGAACTGAGTGCTATGGTCTGATGAGAGTTAATTTCAAATATTTGGCTTTAAAAAACGACAAAGAGTTTAGCTCAGACCTTGTGATGATGCACTCTAAATCTTAAAAAAACTGTCAAATATGGAGGTGGCTCAAATGTAGTTTGGGGATGCTTTGCTTCAAATGGTGTGGGAAGACTGGTAAGTGTTGAAAGTATAATGACAGGACAATTGTATGTTGATTTGCAATCAAAAAATTTATGTCAAACTGCTAAAGAATTGAATTTAGATTGCAAATTTTTTTTTCAACAAGACATCAGCCCAAACACATCAGCAAAGTGGCACAACAGTTCCTCAAAAAAAGTAAAGTTAACTTTTTTTGAGGAACTAAAAAAAAGTTAACTTTACTTTTTTTGAGAGTTACTTTTGCAATGAGCTAAAAAGAGTTAAAAATATATTTGTTTTCCTTTGAAATTAAATTAAAAAAAAAACATAAATTTATTGCAGTTGCGTAGATCCTGACGTAAATAATTTTGTTTTTATTGTTAGAGTTTAGATTTTATCAATAGTATTACTTAATTTTGTCCGTGACTGTATGCGCATATATATATATATATATGCTGTATGTGCATATATTATATATATATATATATATATATATATATATATATATATATATATATATATATATATATATATATATATATAATAATGGTGTGATTGCTTTGTAAACTTATTAAACTTAACAAAAAATTGGTCATCACTAGCCATTAAATCAGTTTAAGAACTTATTTTTTAAGATAGTTATAATGCAGTTTGTCTAAAAATTGACAGAAGTTTTAAAAACTGATATAACTTTGCATATTATAAAATTAAAAAAAATAGTGCTACACTTACTAAAAACAGGTTAAAATAATTTAATAGTGTCTTTTAAAATATATTAACATTGACAATAATTTATATTACAAATAACTTTAGATGACAATTTCAAAAATAATAAACTGATAGACATCTAATGAAACTAAAAAATTAAGTTTTTCTAAACCATTAAGATTTCAAAAATTTATTAGTAAAATTTAAGTATATATTTGAAAAAATTACTTACTCTATATTTCCTGACTTATATCTTAATTCATCAAAATCTCCATATTGAACTTGTATCTGATATGCAGCAAACTAAAAAAACATTCAAATCCAACATCATAATCATCATTTATCATTAAAATAATAAACATCACTATTATGTGAGTATGTATGTATGTATGTATGTATGTATGTATGTATGTATGTATGTATGTATGTATGTATGTATGTATGTATGTATGTATGTATGTATGTATTTAATAAAATAATAAACATCACTATTATGTGAGTATGCATGTATGTATGTATGTATGTATGTATGTATGTATGCATGTATGTATGTATGTATGTATGTATGTATGTATGTATGTATGTATGTATGTATGTATGTATGTATGTATGTATGTATGTATGTTAGGGTGTTCCAAAAAAATGACTTTTTTGAATTTCAACTAACATTGCTTTTCATAAGGTGCACCAACCTTGATATAACTAATAAAAATTTTTTTTTTCATGATTAGATCACTCCATGACTTCTCTCAATGGGTCCAATAGTCATTTTTTGCCCACATTTCGGACTAACTGAGGGGAGTGTTACCATAATCCAAATTAATTTTTATTTCTTTTTTTTGTTTTGTTGTTTTATCTTTTTGAAGAAAATAAAAATAGAATGCTAAGCTTAATTTCTTTTTTTATTTGAACAATGAAGATCAAAAAATTCAAAAATATTGATTTATTTTACTATATTTCATTATCTTTTACTACCTTTGTCCTATGTACCATTTTAATGTGTTTTCAGTTATATTTTAAATATTTGTTTCTTTTTGTGAACAATTAAATTTTAATTTGTTTATGCAATTTGATTTTTAACTTATTTTTCATTTTGGTTATCATTAATCTTTTCAGTAACTAATTAGCTTAAAAAAACTTAATAGTAAAATGCCACCAATAAAGAAGTTGAATATTACTTGAAATAAATGGCTGAAGTATTTCTAGTAAAGAAAGTTAAAGAAAATCTTTCATGTTCTAAACTTCCTACTGGCATAGAGGTTTTGCAATACTACCTATATCTAAGAAACTTAAATCCCAAAGTAGTGAAAACAGTTTTAATTAGGTGTCATTTCGAAATTAATTCATTTGAGATCAGATGCCCTCCACAAGCTGACTGTTGTGTAATGTCTAAATCGGTAAGGCCATGGAATCTTGTAAGATTCCCTATCATAACCTTGGAAAATATCAGGTAAATTCAAAATTTATCAACAAATTTATTTTTATCTTTATTTTAAATATTGAATAAATTTTGCATTTTAAAGAAAGAAGGATATAATGGTGAACAACTATTACAAGTTAAAGAAGAATAGCAAAAGAAACAGTCCAACAGATACAAAAAGTTAAAGAAGAATAGCAAAAGGAACATTCCAACAGATACAAAAAGTTAAAGAAGAATAGCAAAAGGAACAGTCCAACAGATACAAAAAGTTAAAGAAGAATAGCAAAAGGAACATTCCAACAGATACAAAAGTTAAAGAAGAATAGCAAAAGGAACATTCCAACAGATACAAAAAGTTAAAGAAGAATAGCAAAAGGAACAGTCCAACAGATACAAAAAGTTAAAGAAGAATAGCAAAAGGAACATTCCAACAGATACAAAAAGTTAAAGAAGAATAGCAAAAGGAACAGTCCAACAGATACAAAAAGTTAAAGAAGAATAGCAAAAGGAACAGCCCAACAGATACAAAAAGTTAAAGAAGAATAGCAAAAGGAACAGTCCAACAGATACAAAAAGTTAAAGAAGAATAGCAAAAGGAACAGTCCAACAGATACAAAAAGTTAAAGAAGAATAGCAAAAGGAACAGTCCAACAGATACAAAAAGTTAAAGAAGAATAGCAAAAAGTCCAACAGATACAAAAAGAAATTTTTTGAAGAAATGCCAAGAAGTTGAACATTGCCAAGAAGTTGTACTCAACTCCAAGACCTTGGTCCAACTCCAAGACCTTGGTCCAACTCCAAGACCTACAACTTATGCCATAGAGAGACATCAAGTTAATTTAAATATACTGAATTCCCTTATGTTTAATGATGATAATCCCCCAAATTTGATCCCGCTTATAACTGACCAGAGTTGATTAATTTTTCATATCTTAAACCATGCAAATGCTGAAGTACAGTGGCTTAAGACTTAATCTGAGACATGGGATCTAAATGACTATAATTTAAACAATTTGTGAATAATCTTGAAGTAGTAAATGACTGTAGTGAAGTAGTAAATGATTGTAGTAAATGACTGTAGTGAGAGGGCTATAAAACTAGTTCAGGTATTTTTTTTTTATGTTTGGTCCTTACTGTTTATGTTAAAAATCTCAATTTATTTCACAAGCTCATTACTTTTAAACATTTTTTAATAGAAGTTGAACAATAAATTGCACAATGAGGATAAAAGACAAAGTATTTTCCTTGTATCAAACAAATATAAGAAAGAAAGAACAATAAAAAAAAATCTGATTATGTAAAGAATTCTTTCTTTACAGAATAAATTTATAAACATGAACTATGTTTGACAACTAATTACTCCAGAACTAATTACTAATCATAAATATGACTTTATTATGTAAATATAAATATTTTAATATGTAAAGTATCTTGTTAACAAGCTGAACACTAATATAGTGCAAAAAAGCTTAAAAATGCCTTTTTTGATCTTGAAATTGTTCAAAGTAAAAAAAAAAAATTAAGCTTAAAATTTTATTTTTATTTTCTTCAAAAAGATAAAACAAAACAAAAAAAAAAACAAAAAAAATTAATTTAGATAATGGTAATACTGCGCTCATTAGTAATATCAAGGTTGGGGGACCTTATGAAAAGCAATGTTAGTTGAATTTCAAAAAAGTCATTTTTTTGGAACACCCTAATGTATGTATTTATGTATGTACGCATGCACACACTTTTGCGAAATTTTGATAGACACTGTCCTAATAAATTTTATTGCACCTAAAATTTCAAACTGTTAGACTTTATCATGAACTAATTTTATATGCAGACATTTAGGGGCTTCATTACATGCATGTGTGCGCTGTCTTTTATATTGAATTACGCAAGGCTAAGTACGCAAAGATATTTGCATATATACATATGTACATATTTTATACATTATATTTCTATAGTTCCTAGCTTAAGCATGTCATAAATAGTAAAAAACAACAGCAATAACCTTGAAAACTTGAATTTTCAAGTTTATTACAAAACAATGAAAGGTGTTTCACAAAACTAAAAAATATAATTTATTTATTAGAATATATTTGTTCGAAAAAAAATAAATAATTTGGTACAAATTGTAATAGCGCATTGAAAAAATATTTAAAAACAGTTAAAACATAAAACAAATAAGATAAATTATAGTTAAAAATAATGAAAAAGAAATTCAGGACTCCTATGAATTAGCCAATTATCATATGAAAATTTAATTTTAAATATATATATATATATATATATATATATATATATATATATATATATATATATATATATATACAAAATAAAATTTTAAATTTAAATTTTATTTAATATATTTAAGTTAAATTTATTATTAAATGTTAATAATTTGAACTTTTTAAAAAATTCAAAACGCTGTTAAACAGGTTTTTTTTTATTTTTACTGCTAAAATTTCTAACCTATAAGTATAATATATATATAATATAAGTATAAGTTTTTTAAAATAATTTTTTTTTTCTTAACAACATTTAAATTTAATTTTTCAAACAACATATGTAATTTTTTTTTTTTTTTTCCAGTCAACATATTTAAATTTTATTAATATATTTCTTCTTCAACTTGTTTCTCTGCTCAGTGGCCTTGTTCATCAAGGTTCGTGTTTCGGAGTTATAGAGTTGAGAGGTTATAACCACAAGTAGCATTCTTATCTGTGGTGGCCTTCTCGGCCTTGGGAAGGTGAATTACAAAAAAAAACAAAAAAAAAAAAAAACACTGATACCTTTGAATCGGTTAAGCTTATATTGTAGTCTATTTATTTAAAAAGTTAAAGCTAAACGAAACTAAAAATTAAAAAAGAAAATTTAAATAAACAATATGTATAACAAATATATTTTTTATATAACTTTGAACTGAAACTTCTGAAAGCGCACTCACAAACAAAAGAAAAAATATGACGTCACTACTTTCACAAACGCATTTCTCAAAATTACGTCAGTATGTACGTATATATTATATTAATATTTATAAGTATATATATTTACACTAATATATATTATATTAGTATAAGTCTATTAAATATTTATTAATTATATAACCAAGTATATAAAAAAATATTCACTTTAAGTGAATATCTTTTTATATTGTTGCGCCTTCAGTTTAAATTAGAAAGCAGTTTTCTGTTTTGTACAAACAATGAATGGAAAGTTATGAAATCATTACTGTTAACAAATAGAATGGAATGTTTACTATTTTTTAAATGTTAAGCCCCAATGAGAATAGAAAATTTAAATTAAAAAAATAAAACTTGATTAAATTTTGAAAAACCAAAAGTTTTAATCCACAAGATTTTGTAAAAACGTAAGCTTTTGTAAATAATAGAAATATTTAGAATGTCTGCAAACAAGCATGTTAATTCAACTCCAAAAATATGAAACAAAGTTATGTTGTCAACTTTTAATAAATGGCAATACTTCATTGTTTTTATTTAATATCAAAGCTGCAGTAACTTATTTTTTCCAGTATATAGACAAATATATTAACTAAAAAACCAAAGCTTTTCCATCTGATTTCGCGGACTTCACATAAAAAAATTTCAAACAAAAATTTTTTTGTACAGTGACTTTATTAGTACAGTATTTCAGGGTTTTTTTTAAAGCATTTTATGCAAGTATAGTTTTATTTTTTCAGACCAATTAGAAGGTGCTGAAGGCCTTTTTAGTAAGTTTAATTCATTTTAGTATTTATACATTATTAGCTATTGTTTGTTGTAATTCTGTAAAATTGTGATTTTTTTATTGTAGTACAGAATTTTAAGGAACAAGCTAAGCAAGTTTTACCTTATTTTTTAGAGTGATTGAAAAGAACTGAAGTGCTTTTTAGTTA